AATGGTGTTCATTGCTGCTTTTTTGGTTCCGGAAGGATTAAGTTGTGCAGGATTGCAGGGAGGGGATCTCCCCCCGTGGATTTTGTTGGACAAGGTAGCACCACTCTTTCCTACGGCGTGGGTGAATCTGAACAGACGACTAACGTTCAGTAGCCGTACGAGAAAGTGAACATCCCCGACGACCCTGCTGGCAACTTTGCCGCCGATGTTGACGAGGACGTGGCGCAAAATCTCGCGGGATACATCCGGCCTCATTCCACGTTGGCGTTCAACTCCCCGCAACCTGCTCCCGCTTGGGCAGACCGGGCGTATGCCGGAAGATTGGCATTTATTGTTCCTACTCTGGACAAGGCTGTTCCCGAGGGAGCTCAGCGTGCCATGATCGCCGCTACCCAGAAGGATTGGATTGTGGAGGAGATAGTGTGCAGTCACTTGGCGCCGTTTCTGAATCGGATCGACGAGTGTGTGAGACTGCTGCAGGGGTTTCTCGGGGTGTTTGAGGGCACGAAAAACTGAGTAGTCCACCGATAATCCTTCTTGAATGATCATGAGATGCGAGTAATAACAAAGTTGATCCCTTGGCGATCCGCCGGCATCCATTGCACGTCCTCTTCTTCCATGCCCCATTCCTTGAGATCTACCTCAGTTACTTCTAGCCTCCACTGTGTGTTTGTATCCTGTTGCACTACATCCCACAGTTCGACGAATGACTTTAGATTATGGTAGAACATCATGCCCCAGGGCCGCATATACTCCCGTGCTGTCTTCCTGCCTTGTTGATATCCCACTAGCATCGTCCCCGGCTTAGACAATGCGACGATCCGCTTCGTCGCGCTGATTTGGCCGTCCCAGCTAAACAAATGAAGAAATTGCGACGCTATCACTACATCCACGTTGCCTTTAAGCTCGCCGAGGCTTTCGTCTGCCATGCGCAGAAAATCGCCCTGAATGAACCTCGCCTTCATCCGGTCGCTATCACGGAATAGTTGGTATCCCAACTGCCACAGACCGGGTTCGATATCCACTGCCCACATCAGGTCTGTGGGAATGCCATGGGTGGCCAGTAAGCGCAACTCCTGCCCCAGACCACATCCCAGATCCAGTATCCTAGAATGGAGCTTCCGGGCTCGAGCCAGGATCGCGGGGAATTGCGGAAGGGCGGCCAAACCAGGAAGCAGGAAGATCCAGAGGCCAATGCAGGGATATTTGCCTAAAGGCCAGGCTTTGTTGCGCTGGCTCCGAACGTTTTAGTATAATGCAGAGCTTGGAATGAAGCCATTCACCTACGATTTCGTGTAAATGAGAGGGGAGTTCTTCGTCAGGGATGCCGCTCCAGTGGTTGTAGACATATCGAACGCACGGCCTAAGACGCGGGCCGATATGAGGTTGGAACCAGACCGAGCTGTCAATCTGAGACATTTCGTTCGACTTGTCCATGCTTCGAGCAAGTGGTCTGTTGATGGTTAATAAGAGTTCCTGTACCGGACTCAGACATGTCTCACCGTCATCTATTTAGCTTCGGCGATTAACAGCCGGCTCATCGGCCACACGAGCCACGACAGGGATCAATTGCCATAAATGTAACCTCGTGTCTTTCGTCTGCTCCAATCACGAACATAGATATGCAACTGTTGTTGGATAGCCAACAATAATGAAACGAATCTATCTATTCCCTATCTACTGCTAGAAACGGGTCCATTCTCCTTCCCGGTCGCCAGCAAATCATCTACCTTGACCACCTCGCTGCCATACACCTGCTGCATGTAAGCCAGCGTCTGTTCCTCCGAGAAATGCAATGCTGCCGTGCACTCTCTCACCAGTGTGGTCCACAGTCCCCGCTGAAATGCCCCTCGCACCGTCGCATCGACACAGACATCCGTGTACAAACCCACCACCACCAGCTCCTCAAATCCCCGAGCAGCGATATACTGTGCAAACTCTCCGGTCAGAAACGGATCAAACTTGGCTTTCTTGTCAAAAACCCGTTCACCCGTTTGGACCGTAACACTACCGAATACCTCAGCGCCCCATGTCCCCTGGACGCACCACGGCCGCCGCCCCTGCGTCTGATTTCGGTAGCGCCAGCTAGGGCCCTGGAATTGCTCGTCGCCCAGGAACCGAACGAAAATCACCTCGATACGAGCCCGTCGGGCCCATTCCACCACTAGCGGGATGTTCGCCGCCACCCGTGCCATGGACGATTGGTTCTTGCACTGCGTGACAAAATCGTTCTGGAAGTCCACGACCACCACGGCCGTTCGGTTCCCCCGACACCGGGAGGTCTTGCAGTGGTGCGTGTCTAGTGGCTCATTTAATCCCTGCAGGAAAGCCTCCACAAACCTCTCCGTCGTAGCTGTCCCTCCCTGATCAGGCGTCCCAATGCCGCTGGCCCCCAAATCCTCCAACACACAATCGGCCCTCTTTTTGGCCCCCAGACAGCCTGCGTGTTCCTCCAACATTGCGGCCGCGGCGCGGATCGTTGCCGTCGGATTGACAATGCCCTTACCTACCAGATCATCCGCTGATCCATGTGCGGTCTGGTACTCGCTCAGACCCTGCACATCCGGGTGAAGATAGACGTTCTCTGCGCATGCGGACTCCTGCGCCCCGAAGCCAAACCTATCAAGCAGGATGGTCTGCATGATGTCGGCGTACTCGTTGCCTGAAATAAGCAGACTGTGGCCGCTCACCCCGAAGGCCAGGAGGTCGCGGTTCATGGTGTCTCCCTGTACAAACCGGATCGGGACGCCGAAGGTTCGTTCCCACTCTGTTGCCCAGGTGTGGAAAAGCCCGTCAAAGAGGTGGAACTTGTAGACCATTGTGACCGAGTTGGTTTGTCCCCAGAGCTGATTGGCGCGGCCGAGTGCGTAGGAGAGAATCCGCGTGAAGACCGCTTTGCTAAAGTGCGCGGTGCGGGAGACGGCATCCTTGGTGCTGTTGACGCTGTTGGTGCCCGAGTAGAATCCCTGTGCCTGGTCGCGGACGAGGAGGATGGACGAGGTGGGACTCAAAGTGAAGTGTTCGACTTTGATAGCTTGGAGCTGCTCGCGGACGAGGTAGAGGGCTTGCGCGCTGATCGAAGTGCGGAATATCGCGCGCACGCCGCAGGATACGACTTCCTTGCAGAATTGGCCATAGTGGGCAGCGTCTGCCAGAGTTTCTTCCGTCACAGCGTCGGTGTCGTTGATAGCTAGCAGCGCAGAGTAGGAATTGTAGATGCGTGAGGAGCGCAGGAAAGTGACGGTGACATTGTAGGGGGCAGCCAGCGATTGAATAACACGCTCAAAGACGGCTGTCAGCTCGGGACCAGTGCCGTTGCCCACGGCAAGGCCAACCTGAATAGACGACATGGCGATGGTGAGAAAGGACACGTTGAATCAGTGTCTCGTCGCTGGATTTATGAGAATCTGCGTGTCAGACGCGCAACTGGACTAATGTAGCCGAAATACGACGAAGGATCTAGTGTGGAGGCACTTTTTCTGGTCCCCTTTTATTTTTTTTTTGCATTTATAGTATTATGACAAGCCATTCTCAGAAGCTTGTCAAACTCTTGTCTCTCTCATCTGTCTCACTATGGAGACCATCTCCTCTGGCTTCCATCTCGCCGACGGCAATGGTTACATGCTCGACAAGGGCTACGCTGCCACATCTCGTCTGAACCTCCAGTTCTACCTCTGGAAGAACTCGTTGACTTTCAACCTACACCCCTCTATCCCCATCCCACATACCCAACCCTCGTCGCCGCTGAGAATTGCGGACCTCGCCTGCGGCACAGGCATCTGGCTTCTCGATCTCGCCTCTGAATTACCGGAACCAGCGGTCCTCCATGGCTTCGATATCGATCTCTCCAAAGGCCCACCGGCTCAATGGCTGCCAGACAACGTCAGCCTGTACAACTGGGACATCCTCAGTCCCGTTCCGGAACATCTCGTCGGAAAATACGATATCGTCCACCTCCGTCTCCTCATCCTGGTAGTAGAGCACAGTGATCCCGTCCCCATTATCCAGAATGCGTACCGCATGCTGAAGCCCGGCGGGTACATACAGTGGGATGATCTCAATTATCCCGATACCCATACCATCCAGGCAAATGCAGACACAGCCACCCCGGCGTTTGACCGGCTGCTTCATTTCGTCCGTTCAAATGGAAGACATGACTGGGTTCTGAGCTTACACAATATCCTGGAACACAATGGCTTTATAGATGCCCGCCTGGATCATTTCCGTGATCGCACGGAGCTGGCCATGGCCAATGGGGACCAACATCTGATGACAATGGAGGAGTTTGCCGGGACTTTGCAGCGGAAGGGGATGCTGGAGGAAGCGAGGAATATATATCAATTGATTGCAGATTGCTGTCGAGAGGCATCTCAAGGAGTGGCGCTGTCTATGCCCAGAGCGGTGTGTGTAGCAAGAAAGGGTCCATAGCTGATCAACATATTCAGGCCAATACGATAGGAACGGCATTACTACATATCTTGCCAACACGGCGCTGCACTGACTTACCTACCTCAATGATATAAATCCATGAAATGTTTCGGAAGCGGAATCGGCTTCTTATGAAATTACTCTCGCTGCGTAGACAACAGACAGCAGGATACAAAACGTCTCTTGGAGGCCTCAGGCAACATATGCTACAATAACAGGCTGACGTCAATGCCTGAAATTACCCACTCACATCAGTTATTATTATAATTACCAGAACATAAGGTACGGTGTATAGCAGCATATGGAGGGCTGGAAATCTCAACTGGAAATGATGTTGTGACACCATGTCGGAGATTCCGCGGAGAAATCCACGAGTTGCATCATATAGTAGGAGACGGAGCTGGCAGCATCAACATGATGTAACCGACGCCAGGTTCGGAGTGTCGAGGTATAAATTGGCATTGCAATGTAAAAGATGAACGGAATCAAACCATTAATCTGTTGTGCGAATTAAACTTGCTTCTTATCGTCGAACTCTCACCTCGCGTCTACATTGCCATACAGCTACCAACATGTCTCAGCCGCCTTCCTTCCAGCGTGATCCTACGCAGGCATCCAACGTCGTCGACTCGTCCGAAGTCTCGGATCAAAGCCAAGCAAAAGATACCTCTCAAGCCCCTGCCTTTGGGGGCCCCGGTGCCAAAGCAACCGCCCCTGAAACCTCCAAGCCTCACTCGAGCAAGATCCTAAACAAACTGGATCCTCGGTTCGACAGCGACGTGTTGGAACAGCGTGATCAAGGGAATACCGGTCGCACTTGAACTAGGGGGAAGCATACCGAAATATCTATTCTGGAGACATGGACTAAATGTATATATTTGAATGACATGACCTGCATGGATTAAAACTCTAGCTCACGTTCAAGTCCGATGTATGTCGTCATTTTGACTGGATGGAGCGTTCCCCACATGGTTTTGGCTTTAAAAGCAGGGATAACCAACAATTCACGCTGTCCCGGATCTGTATTCAGGAGAATCCTACATCTACTTTGATATCCTCGATGCCTACTCTTAAACCACTCTTGCTGGCGGGAGGCCACTCATCGCGAATGGGCACTCGCAAGGAACTCTTACGTGTCGTCGATGATGTCCCCTTGTTCGTCCATCTGCTGATCAACCTACGCGAGGCATGTCCTGAGTCAGATGTGGTGTTTCTATCATTGCGCCATCCCGACTCATTAAAAGCCATTGAGAACGATCGCCATATCTCCGCCGTCACAAACCGTCAACTAATTCTCACCCACGGGGCTACCACTTTCCCGGTACATGTAGTCTACGACGGTCCCGGAGTACCCAGCGAACATGATAGCACCGGCATTGGCCCGGCAGCCGGGCTGCTCGCTGCTCATCACCAGGACGAAAGTGCTCACTGGCTGGTAGTGGCCTGCGACTATCCATTCATATCCCTCGCCGCGCTGTCTCAACTCAGATGCGAATGGACTGAGCCAGTCATCTGTTTTGAAAATAGAGATGGCTTCTGTGAGCCTTTACTGAGTATCTGGTCTCCGGAGGCACTGCGCGCACTCAAAGAGAACATTCAAAATGGGATTCTCGGACCCAGTGCGGTGGTGAAGCGTCTGCGTGGCAAGACGATACGACCACGCGAGGAGAAGTCGATCTTCAATGTCAACACGCCAGCCGATTTGGAGCTGGCGTCGAATATGGAAGCCACACCACAAGCCAGTTCATAGAGGAGGAAGAAGTTGGTCCGCAAGAGAACTCAGTGGCTTGGGTAAATGTCGACGATCTCACCTGCTTTCAATTCGGAAACCCCTCGGTGGATATGGATCCAACAATTTGAATGCAGAAAAGGCTTGATCTTCCCTGGGCTGTGATCCTGTATGAGTTTTACCTGTACATGGCCTGACGAGCCGCGGACCAGCGCCGGTCGAAAGACGTCCATGTCCCCACGGAATGTAGATACTACTGGATGCTCTTTGGTTGTTGAGGTTTCCATGTCGTCAGGAGGGAGAAGATATGCATGCGATGGATCGTCTGGTTGCTGCAGCTGTACGTATTTCAGGTATGGAAGGACCAAGAAGCGCAGACAGGCAGCACTGGCTACGGGGTTTCCGGGCAACCCAAAGAACGCCGTTTCCCTCCGGCTATGTCCTTCATTGCTCGAAGAATCAGGAATCTGGGCGAAAAGTACAGGATGGCCTGGTCTCATTGCGACCTTGTGAAACACGACTCGAGCATTCAATCGACGAATCACCACAGGAATCAAGTCGCATCGTCCGGCGGAAACAGCTCCAGAGGTGATGATCACATCATATTCCTTCTTTGTGAGAATCGAACCCAGAGCCTGTTCTAGGCTTTCGGCATGATCCGGGACGATTCCCAAAAAGTCCACTGCGGCCCCCCAACTCTCCAAGGTCGCAGTTAGATAGGGTCCGTTCGCGTCGCTGATCCGATGGATGCATGATTGATCAATCCCAGGAGGCACTAGCTCCGAGCCAGTAGAGACGACAGCTACCCGAGGCTTGCGCATGACCGCAATCTCGGTGATTCCAACCGATGCCATGGACAGGATGTGGCCTGGATGGACCACTTCTCCCGCATCAATAAGGACGTCATTTTTCTTAAAGTCGCTCCCTGCAAACCTTCGATTCTGCCGCGCTTTCGATGGCTTGAAGACTCGAATATAGCGGCGGTTGGACGCTTCGTCCAAGGTGACTGTCACATCCTCGTTTCGCACGCAACAGTCCAATTCAGCGCTGCTCACGCTGGTCGGGAAGGGGGCTCCTGTCATAATCTCCACGCAGACAGGGGCCCCCGATTGTTCGTCAGCGGCGATCAGCAACGGCTCATCTCCCGCGGCGATCATGCCCTTGACCTCAAATGTCACCGGGCGTTCGATGGTCGCATCCTGTGTCGCAGAGGAGCTCAGCGCATACCCGTCCATAGCCGATGTATCGAATTTTGGGGTCGATATGGGACTTGTTACGGTCTCGCGAGCAATGCGATTCCGTGCCTGGCTGATATTAACATGTTCCCCATCATCGACGAATGCGTCGCGATGTTGCTGAGCCTCCGCCTGAATCAGCTGCAGTGCCTCAGGATAAAGAATAGCCATGATGACGGTGTCGCAGCTCAATCGATGGTTTCAGCTAATGTAATATCAATATCTTATGATGGTGTCATGTCTTTTTGTAAGATCGTGGGATGAGGTTTACTGCTCACGAGTCTGCTCAACTCCTCCGATAGACCTCGACGACAATTGCCGACTTCCATGCGGCTAGTACTATTCCTGTTCCGTTAGACACCAACGAACTGTTCGTAAACAGGAATGTTGACTCCCCGAGACCTGTTTTGCGGCATTTCGTGGGTGCCGCGGAGACGCCGACTGCGGATGTTGATGGATGGCGTCACTTTGGAGTCATCGCAACTACAGGCCCTTAAACTCTTGTCTTGTCCACCCCTCGTTTGCCGAACCAATATCAATGCCTTCTGAGTGCACAGCTGCCGGACAACAAGCTTTGGCCTAAACTCTAGTCCCCTATTAGGTAAAAAAATATCTCCATGATGCTGCGCGACGGGCCGAGAATGCCGAATCTCTACGTCAGCGGGGTCAAGCAGAGGTCCCTGCGCCTGGCTTCATCTTCAACTTCTCCACGGATTGACCAGACGGTCCAAATGACTCTTGGGTAATTAATGGACAATGGAGGATTGATTTTGCATTCAGAACAAGGAAAACCCACTTTCAAGTCTTGACTATCAGTCGCGTGGGTTACTGGCCCATGTAAAGCACATTGCCCCGTTTATAGCGTCGGCCGAGGCTACAACACAATGACGACCAAAGTATACGAGACACGAGACTCAATTGCGAATGTCTATGGACAGCGCACACCGTATAAGCACCAGTGGCCAACGCGATGCGATGTACGGACGCTGGAGGAGCCGGAGAAATGGGTGCAGAGCGCTTGTGTGCTGTGCAGGTAAACACCCCTCCTACGGTGGTCAGGATGATGTCTTATTAAAATCCTTCTAGCAACGGCTGTGGCTTGGATATCGGAGTCAAAAATGGCAAAGTTGTTGGTGTGCGCGGGCGCATCACCGACCGGGTCAACAGGGGGAGACTGGGGCCCAAAGGCCTCCATGGGTAAGCCAGCAACAGAGCCTGACAGACGACCGGCTAACGTCCCCAGCTGGGAATCAATGAACCATCCGGACCGTCTCAAACATCCCCTGATCCGTAGGAATGGAAAGCTGGAACGTGCATCCTGGGACGAGGCCATGTCCCTAATTGTGCAGAAAACGAAAGACGTTCAAAAACGTCTGACTAACCATGGCATTGGCTTCTACACCACCGGACAATTGTTCCTGGAGGAATACTACGTCCTTGCTATGATCGGAAAGGCCGGTCTGAATACACTGCACATGTAGGTCGCTTTGACCGTCTCAAGCGCTCTTTTTGGTGCAAGAAATGAGCTGACCACTGAAGGGACGGTAACACTCGCCTCTGCACGGCAACGGCGGCCGCCAGTATGCGCGAGTCCTTTGGTAGCGATGGCCAGCCGGGCTCGTATACAGATATTGACTTCACAAATTGCATCTTCATGGTCGGACACAACATGGCGAACACTCAGACAGTGCTGTGGTCTCGTGTTTTGGACCGCCTGGCCGGACCCAATCCCCCAAAGCTGGTGGTCGTGGATCCTCGAGATTCGGAGACGGCCAGGCATGCGACAGTTCACCTGGCACCAAAAGGTGGAACCAATGTTGCACTGCTAAATGGATTGCAGCATTTGCTCTTCAAGAACGGCTGGGTGAACGAGGAGTGGGTGGAAGAACATACCGTCGGGCGGCAGGAGCTGGAAACGACAGTGGCCAAATATACGCCGGAATATGTGGAGCAAATAACCGGCGTCTCTGCCAATATGCTGAAAGGAGCCGCCGAGATCATCGGCACCAGCGGAAGTCTACTGTCCACTGCGTTACAGGGAGTCTATCAATCAAACCAGGCCACCGCGGCCGCCTGCCAGATCAACAACATCAACCTCTTGCTGGGACACATTGGTAAGCCAGGCAGTGGTATTCTTCAAATGAACGGCCAGCCGACGGCTCAAAACAATCGCGAGACTGGATGTGACGGCGAGTTTCCAGGATTCCGTAATTTTCAGAACGAGACACATATGAAGGAGATAGCCGACGTGTGGAAGATTGATCTCGTGCACACACCGCACTGGAACCAGCCCACTCACATTCAAAATATGCTCAACTATATCGAGGATGGCACCATCCAGATGTTCTGGGTGTCTGGCACTAACCCCCTCGTCAGCCTACCCCATCTCTGGCGGGTCAGAGATCTCCTCACCAAACCAGAGTTGTTCCTGGTGGTGCAAGATATCTTCATGACCGAGACGGCCGCCATTGCGGATGTCGTTCTCCCTGCGGCACAATGGGGCGAGAAGACGGGATGTTTCACCAACGTCGACCGGACCATGCATTTATCAATGAAGGCTGTTGAGCCCCCGGGTGAGGCCCGGGCGGACCTTGACATCTGGCTTGACTATGCGAAGCGCATGGAGTTCAAGAACAAGTATGGGGAGCCATTGATTCCCTTTACCTCGCCCAAAGAAGTGTTTGATGAGTGGAGGAAGATGTCGTTCGGTCGACCCCTCGACTGCAGCGAACTGACATACGAGAAATTGACCGGTGGATCGGGGATCCAGTGGCCATGCACTAAAGACCATCCATATGGCAAAGAACGCTTGTTTGACGATGGGAAATTCTTCACTGATACAGATTACTGTGAGAGTTATGGTCATGATCTGGAGACCGGTACCCCGTACACCAAGGCCCAATACCAGGCGATGAACCCTGCTGGGCGGGCCATTCTCAAGTCGGCACATTACAGACCATCGCTGGAAACCCCAGATGAGAACTATCCTCTCTTGTTGTCTACCGGACGAAACGTCTTTCATTTCCATACGCGCACCAAAACCGGGAGAGCGAGGCGCTTGCAGCAAGCCGATCAGGAGCCGATTGTGCAGATTTCGGTGGAAGACGCCAAAGCCCTCCATCTGACTCAAGGGGAGATGGTGATCGTGAGATCACGACGAGGGGGTGTTGAGCTCCCTGTAAGAATCGGTGGGATCAACGAAGGACATGTTTTCATTCCGTTTCACTTTGGATATTGGGACGCTACAGACGGGAGAGCACGGGCTGCTAATGAGCTTACCATTGGTAGGTACAATGTCGAGAAGGCTGTCTGACTGGAATTCCGCATGCTAACGAATGCAGAGCAATGGGACCCAGTTTCCAAACAGCCGATGTTCAAGTCCGGCGCCGTCCGCATTGAAAAATGCGTCCAAAAGGAAGAAGAACGGCAAACGATGGCCCTTCGGAGTGTCCAGCAGAAGAAGCCAGACGCGGAAAACAGTGCAGGAGACATTGGCAAGGACAAGAAGCTCATCCGTCGGCTGGAGCTGTGGCTGGGAGCGACTGATCAGGCATTGGAGATGCTGCGCGACATATACGTGGACATAATCCCTCGTTTGGTACATGATATGGAGATCCAAGGCGGTCTCCAGGTGATGAGACGCATCACCTGTGAGGTTTTGGACCAATTCAAGCCCATTGTCGAGCGGTACCACGAGAGCCAACAATACGGTCGCCGGGTGGCCGAGCGCCTGCGAGACAGCATCTTCCCTGCGATTGGTGAAACCAACGATTCATACGAGGCACTGGCAGCGCTGCAGTCCCTTGATTTGTTTCTGACCTATATCGAAGGACATCTGACAGCTCTATCTCCTGTAAGTCAGGCACTCTGGGATTGTGATTTCATCGATGCAGTCAAATTTGCCCAGAAGGGCATCCAAAGACAAAAAGGGTGGGTCAGCCAGCACATCAAGGTGAAAAGCCCACAGACGCTACTCGTGCCGTCGGCGGCGCCAGAGGAATTAGCTGGAGAGGATTCTCGAATGGCGGGTCATATTCGTTGTTGATGAACTTTAAAGGGAGTTGGTTGATTCGGCTGAGTACTGAGGAAGCATGACTTTAGAGTTAAGCGAAACAAAGGCACATTGCTTATTGGATCCTCGTGGAAGATTCTAAGGTCCAGGAAGGACGACAGGCGTTGGAGATCCTGATAATGGCTTTAATATCCTTTTGTTTTCTTTTTGCACATGTTGATAGCCATCCACCTTTCAAATCGGCGCAGCCGGTCACTTCCACAGGCATCTGAGGCTTATCTAAGCGAAGACAACGAAGCAACTGGCATTTGCCTTCAGGATTGGAATGATTGGTCTTGCCCATCATCAACGACGCAGTTGGGACAGGAAGTAAGCAAGGAACGGACCTGAAGTCCTTGAAGAGAGGAAAGCCGTTTGCAGCGACTCCTTAATCCTCGGCAGCAAGGGACGAAACAATAGACTTCGCTTCATCAATATCGTCAAGCTCGTACGGCTTCAATCCGAAACTTATCATGAATTGGGTCCAGCCACCGTAGCTTTTGACGATGGCCCGCTCGGCTGGGATAAGTGGGGGCTCTAAGTAAGTTAATCGACAGTTAGCAAACATTCAGTACATCAATTGAGGCAAAATCCACGTACGGAGAGCGTCCGTAGCCGGCATCCTGATGATTGCGGGATATTGCTATTAGATATGAGGCAATGGATTCTGACAACAAGTTCATCAAAGTGTATCTCTGGAGCCGAGGAAGGGTGCAGGCAGGGGACCAAAGGGAGCGAAGAGGATGTGGGGAAACACGATGGGTCAGAGCGGGAAAGGGCCGGGAAGCGACTGGGCATGTGACATGTTCACTTTCATTGGTGGAGTTCCTGACAGTCCCAGCACCACGTGGGACTGTGTGCCTGAGGTGTTGAGGCCCGCTTCTGCAAGAACACAAAACATCGCAGGTTTAGGGGTAACAAACCCCTGAAAACCACAAGAAGGATGCTGATGCTCCGAAACTCTAGATCTAGGAATACATTGTGGTTTACATCCGTCTTCTCCTATCCACAAATTGATGGGGTCTCTCGCATTGCGAGCTTTGTACGGAGTATTTTGATATCCTACCCCACAAATAACAAACGGCTGCTATATATTTAGCATGAATCAGCCGGCTGAATTCTCCGTTTGCCAACGCTCAGGGGATTTCTGAGATGGCTACAGAAAAGCCACATATTGTTGGCAAGTGCCGACGGCAAATTTTTGACACTATCAGAAGCGATGAAATCCTCGGACAATCGGCTCTGTCGAACCTCTCCTCACGGGCTGGTCTTTACGCGATGTACACTAAGGTATTATTGGCTATACCAGGCATAATAGCCTAAATTTCCCCAAGCTACCCCAGAGAAATTGCCTGCATCCAGACAAGGTCATCTCGGTTGTTCCTGCGGGGATGAATAGCCCAATCTAGAGCCGGGAATTCCAGTCGGGTCAACTGCAGGACGCAGTGGCTTCATTTACAACCCAATTGCCGCTCCCCTTTCCTTTCCAAGCGTATATAAAGCGCTGTGCAGTCCCAGACTATTCATTCTGGTGACTCTGTTACCAAACTCAAAAGAATAATCCTTGTTTTGTGACTCGCGATGCGTTTCTCCCTTGCCGCTACCACTCTCCTCGCTGGCCTGGCTACGGCAGCACCTTCGAGCAACAAGAATAGCGTTAATCTCGATAAGATTGCTCGGCGTAATGGACTGCTATGGTTCGGCACTGCAGCCGATATTCCTGGAACCTCAGAGACAACCGACAAACCTTATCTGAATGTCCTACAAGAGCAGTTCGGCGAAATGACTCCGGCAAACGCATTGAAGGTAAGCAAGGGTGAATGGTACTCTTTATTCGGTATTGGCGCTGACAGGAGGATTTTCTCTACGTAGTTCATGTACACCGAGCCCGAGCTGAATGTCTTCAACTTCACCCAGGGCGACTACTTCATGGACTTGGCCGATCGTTATGGTCACAGCGTCCGGTGCCATAACCTCGTCTGGGCCAGCCAAGTGTCCAACTGGGTCACCTCTAGGAATTGGACTGCCACGGAGCTCAAAGCAGTGATGAAGAACCACATCTTCAAGACTGTCCAGCACTTTGGCAAGCGCTGCTACTCGTGGGACGTCGTCAATGAAGCTATCAATGGGGATGGTACTTTCTCCTCCAGTGTGTGGTACGACACAATTGGAGAGGAATACTTCTACCTTGCCTTCCAGTACGCTCAGGAAGCCCTCGCTCAGATTCACGCCAACCAAGTCAAGCTTTACTATAATGACTATGGCATTGAGAACCCCGGCCCCAAGGCGAATGCTGTTCTGAAGTTAGTCGCCGAGTTACGGAAGCGCGGCATTCGCATTGACGGAGTCGGTCTCGAGTCCCATTTCATCGTCGGCGAGACTCCTTCGCAGGCCGACCAGCTCGCCACCAAGAAGGCTTACATCGACGCCGATCTTGATGTCGTCATCACCGAACTGGACATCCGTTTCTCTCAGGCCCCATTCTACACCGCCGAGGCCCAAAAGCAGCAGGCCGCGGACTACTATGCTAGTGTCGCCAGTTGCAAGCAAGCCGGACCGCGCTGTGTCGGCGTTGTGGTCTGGGACTTTGATGATGCCTACTCATGGATTCCCGGTTTTTTTACGGGACAAGGCGGCGCCTGTCTATACAATGCGACGCTCGAGGCGAAGCCGGCTGTCTATGCTGCTGCCGAGGCGCTGCAGAACAAGCCTTGCACTGTATGCTAGACGCTCGTCATGTGAAGAACGACATACCCGTTGTTGAGTCGGTTTCTAGCTTGTACTAGCATTTAATAAGAGAACAAGTTTTTAGTGTAAGCATTACCAGAGACGTGTAAAGACTGTCGTTGGCTATAGCGACGGTTTTGCGATTAGTGGTTCCATACTCATACACAACCACTGTTACAAGCAGGCTATTTACATACCATATTGGCAATGAAGGACTGTTTTGCGCGGGAGAGTTTGTCTATTTTAAGATGTCTTGATATAGCACATTGTTTCCTTACCTCTTCAACTTTGAGACACATAGGACATCATCTGCTCATTTTGACCCCATCGACTGTATTTACTCGATCCGATAGGTAGAGAGGATCTAGATGTAGCCTTAGGGTGAAGTAATAAGGACTTTCTACTGAATGCTGCTAGAGCTCTAAGCCCAGCAGTTCATTTTAACTATGAAGGTGGGTGCTCTTAAATAGTACCCTTGTGATATAATTTACAATTCTGTTCTTTATCAGATTTTTAACATCTGGTAGTTAAATCATATCGGCTGTTCCTTCCTTAACGCAAACGACATTAAATTGAATCTATCACGTACGGTATGAGATGACATGTCGCTCTGCCATATATCCCGAGTGTTCTTACTATTTCTTCCATAATTTGGATCCGTGCATTGTCAAATACTATCTTGAAATTTTTATCTCACGTCACGAGTCCTTACGGAACAATAGAGTTTTCCGTGGGCCTCTGCCGTATATCTACTACGGAAGCCTAACTTTACGCGGCACATCAGGATATTCAAGATCCACGGACCTCATGTATGAGTATATGGTAAGGAAGCCACATTCAATATTCTGGAAATTTCAGCAAGAGACTTGGTGTCAAGGATCCTCATAACGTGAATCAAGACAAGACCACGGTTTCTTTTTGGGAAGTAAAATCATGTCTTTCTTTCCGTGACGAAGGTTCACTTATCTAGTGTTTCGCAATTGGATCCTAGGACTTGTATTCATTGCACTTCTCCTTTCAACCAGTCTTTATAAGCACCACCCACTTCCCCCCCACCATCTGACAAGTGCTGTTCGTTCAAGAAACCTCAAAGAGCAAGACATCACCTTCCAATGGCTGCTTTGGAAGAGCCCGATCCAATAATCCCTTTTAAAGAAAATTGATCTGTCAACGACAGTACAGTACCGTCGTAAAAACGTGATGAAAAAGACGTCTGAATATAGCAAGATGTGTGACGCAGACGTGTGCATAGGTATTCGCATGCGGGAGAAAGGTCAGACACATATTTTGTCAGCGGATGGCTCGGGCTTTTCGGTCTTTCTTACTTCGTTGTTGGCACGCAAACTACATGACATAATCTAGCAAGCGGTGCGATGACTAGTCAGAGCTCCCATTACCCGACTCCGAACGTGATAACAGATCGCGATTTGCTAAAAACTCGCTAGAGGCGCTCCGCGGTAATCAGAGCGTATCCCAGGCCTTTGACTTGCTCGAAGCTAGATCCCATTTCAATCAGTTTTTTGCCAACTTCACCACCAACAGCGAGACCCTTTTGGACGTAGAACTTGGCCACTGGCAGGACATTTTCTCGTATATCGGTGAACTCAATGACCTTAAAACCAGCCTGACGTAGAAGATCTTGCAGGTCGTCGGCGGAAGGGAGGTCCGGGACCTGGAATGTTTCTTGAAAGCATGTTAATCCTTGGGGATTGGGACAGCAAGAATCGAGAAGTATGTCCGCCACAACGAATCGGCTGCCAGGACGAAGCACTCGCGCGATTTGGGCAATGGCAGCGCCTCTGTCATGCATGTGACACAGAGATTCGATGGCATAGGCGCCGTCGTAGGAGGCATCTGGAAAAGACAGTTCCATGGCGTTGGCAAGCTGAAACAGAACTTGCGCACCGTGTGTGCTACGAGCCTGGGCCAGCTCAATCTGGTGGTTGCTGACACTAATTCCAGTGACTTGGACATCATAGGCCTTGGCGATTTGCACAGTGGCCTTTCCCGTACCGCAGCCAACGTCAAGAATGCGCTGGGCTGGGCTGGGAGAAACCCTGTTTCCCACCTCGAAAGTCAGTCGGTCGGTGGCCACCTCTATGCTCTCTTCCTTGTTGTTGTCATGCCAATAACCAACGTGGATATAGCCTCCCATCATGTCGGTCAACAAGTCGGTGAATTGGTCGTACATATTGCCAACCGTCGTGGGAGTTGTTTGAAGAGCCATGGTGATCTAACTTCAAATGAGATAGGAACTTGGGTAATATGTCAAGGTGCTATTGTAACTCAGAAGACTGCGTTAAGATGGTAACCTATCCTGGACAAAAGGTCTATGAGAGTTATTGCTCACTTATATGGGTCGCCTGTGGATGATATTTCTAGCCCTCCAAGGTTAATTCGTCACACCTGTTGAATAACCAGCGGTGAGTCCAGACGTCTAGTTAGTGTTCGGCATATGCCCAAATGAGCAGGGGTAACCTAGCCAAGATCCAAGATAATAATACCATGAAGGACGCTAGCAATGGAAGGAACAAGCTCTACACATTTTCCATCTACAGATTGCATAACTACGACCTCCTTCATCATATGCAATAGAAGATGTACATTTTTCCACCTCAAGCGAGGCAGCTGCGAATATTGCTTTTTTATTCCATTCCGGATCAGGGTATAGCTATCGTACATGGCGGTGAGAGAATAATACGGACGCCTAGTCATCGACGTATTATTAGGTATCCTGCTTGATACAAGATGCGTAGTGTCAAGGTCTCGGCTGAGTTTCAAGTCTCCAAGGTCTTCCTATGGCTATCAATTCAAGGGTTTTTTAGACCCTGAATGGCATCGTCAGTTCCTTAGTCCTCTGCAGATATTCAACGAAATGAACAATGTAAATATCATGACTTCAAGCCGCCAGTGAAAGATGGGATGATGGTAGGTAGACATTAAAATAGCACCTTTTCCAAATACTAAATCCCACTGGAATTGCTTGTTCTATAACAGTAAGAAGGATGGTTTCGAGTAAGAATGAAATGCCATATCAGATGCAGTCAATGCGGACCCCTCAGCATTTCGATAATGGAGGAAAGATCTTCAGAGCCCTTTCCCAATTTAGTTCCCTCCATTAAAAGACACTGTAAGCCCTGAAGCAATCGTATAGAGACACCAGAGGTTTCTGCCGTCTCGCATGCATTGGATACCAATGCCAACGCTGTTTCGACAGATATACCATCTTGGCACATCGAGTGAGACCGTTCCTGGTCCTGCCTCGCCAGCCGTGGCAATAATTCCTGAAATAGCTGCAGCTGCGGCAAAATCACCTGCGTTGTGAAGGAGACTACATCAATGCCTCCCACACCGGCAAGGGCCAGGGATTGGAAGAATGCCGCAAACACGCCCGCGACCATTGATATAGAGGCATTTTCCATTAGCGAAATTTGCTGCAGATCATCTGAGAGCCATTTTGCTGTGCCTAGGGACTCGTAGATCTGCTTGCTTTTTGCAAAGAGAGGTTGCGGTCCGCAATAGATTATGGTCGCCTGCTGGCTCGCCACTTGGGAGGGCATAGATAGGATGCATCCGTGAAGGTATCCCGCGGCGCCGAGCCTGTTGATAGACATGTCGGCGGTTTCTTGAATCTCGCGAGGTCGGCTAGTCGTAAGGTTTACGACTGTACGACCGGAGAGCGTGAAGGTTTTGCACAATACATCCCGAACCACGTCGTCCGAAACCAGAGAGATGATCACAGTAGTGCCGGACTGCGCACAGCTGGCTGGGGAATCGGCCACAATGGCTCCCTTCGAGACCAGAGGGTCTGCCTTGTTGATTGTTCGATTCCAGACAGTGACTCGGTAGGCTTTGTCGAGAAACGCGGAAGCAAGGGCAAAGCCCATGTTCCCCAGGCCCAGGATTKAGATCGACTCGGTTGATGAGGACATTTTGAGGGATTGGTTAGATATGCCGGCAACGAACGTGGATCAGGAAAGGCAAGAAAAAAATAAACAATTGATGATGGTCAACGTGACCATTTCATTTTATAGAAACTGACCACGTAGGATACTGTCCCTCAGGGTCTCGATGACCTTCATAGGTAATGACCCCCGCTCTGACGTGGTTATCGTCACGTACGATCAAATAAGCAAGGGATCTCTTGATGAAGACTTGCCTAATTCGGGTGTATTGAGAGTTATCGGTGGGTCAAAGGAAGCCATGGTGGATTTTGGCATCACCGCTATTTACAGCCTCAGTATGCAAATGCGCTGTGTTCAATGACTGGATACATCACATGTTCCATGCATTAAACACGGTGCGCATGACCCATAGATTCCCAAGGGATTGAAAACGGAATTACGATGGGCAATGCCGTAGATCTGCCCTATATCCAAGGCATCCCCATGTACGAGATAGTATCATTATCAACCAGGAGAATATCTCACAGAAAATGAATGATCAACCTCTTCTTAACCAGCGAGTCCATGATATTCTTGAGCGACGGCGCCGTGAAGGAAGCCTGCTGATCCCCCCATCCCCACGGTCGCATGATACCGTTGACTTTGGCTCTAATGACATTCTCTCTCTGTCATCCTCCCGTGTCCTGAGCAAAGCGTTCCTGGATGAAATTGCAAAGCATCCGGACTTTGAGATAGGAAGTCCTGGTGGACGTGTGGGGGGAGGCCCGACTGCGTACCTGACCGAGGTCGAGAGCTTCATCGCCAGAGTACACAGGGCCGAATCAGCGACCTATTTCAATTCCGGTTACGACGCAAATGTCGCCATCTGGTCATCTATTCCACGGAAAGGAGACGTGATTATCCACGACAAGGAGACTCATGCCAGCACCTACGACGGCATGCGACACAACCGTGCAACCCAGATACCCTTTGCCCACAACAATGTTGATTCATTCCGGAAAAGTGTACGTTCAGCTCAGAGCCAGTTTCCGGAAATTGCAGCTGGAAAGAAGCTTGTCTTCTTCGCAGTCGACTCCTTCTACAGCATCGCTGGAGACATCGTACCGATTCACCAGTTACTTCTTGTGGCGGCGGAACTACTGCCGCATAAGAACTACGTATTTGTTGTTGACGAAGCTCATTCCAATGGCCTGCTGGGTCCCAACGGCTCCGGTTTTATTTCCTTCTGGGGCTTGGAGGCCGAGGTGGCCATCAGGGTACATACTTTTGGCAAAGGGCCCGGAGCTACTGGTGGTTTGTGTCACCGTGAAAGAGATAAACTTCATTCAAGGCTAATATTTTGACAGCGGCTGTCTTGGCAACGAAGGACATTAAGCTCATGTTGCTGAACTTTGCCCGTAATCTGATCTTTAGCACCGGCCCAACGTTCCCAGCACTGGCGACAGTCAAAGCAAGCTATAATCTGATCACAAGCCAGGAAGGCGAAAAGGTCTGTTGAATCCGCGTCTCTTACTTTCTMAGGAGCTAACAGATTGTGCCACTAGCGGCGCGAATCACTGCAAAAGAACATAATTCACTTCTACAGGGGTCTCGAGGCACACCCGCAATGGAAAAAGATAGAACAGCTAGGTATACTGCGAGTCCCTCTACTCCAGGATTGGGACATGCGGCCCTTTCAAACCCCCATAATAGTTTTGTATACACAGGAAGGGCAGAGTAAGCCACTCGCGGACGAGCTTGGTCGGCGAAAATATCGCGTTCAACAAGGGGGACATCCATTTGTACCGCGGGGATTGGAAGGCATACGCATCATGATTCATGCAGGAAACACTGAGCAGGAAATTGATGGACTCCTGGAAGCTGTCATAGCCTGGAGCGATACCCGCTCTAAAACTATGGCCGAGGTCTCTCTAAGGAGTAAACTCTAGAAGTAAACCGGGGCTACATTGCAAAACGAAAACATTCCTAACCCTGTACAAGAGAACATCAGGACACATGGAACCATATTGAAATTATTGACACAAGAGTACAAGAAATCTCTCTGGGTCACTGGTTAGAGGTCTTTGAGCCTCCTTGCCCGGTTGTGGCTTGTTGCACTGGACAGACGTAACATAGAACATTTAATATTGGGTATTCGCTGTATTATCCTATTATCCTTCTACTAGTAAGGTATCGTCTACAGGATGGGTTTCTTAATCTGTCTAACCATTGAAACAAGCAAAAAAGATTTATTTTTCTTGTAGCTTGAGTATCATGTGAAAAGCGAGTAAATAAATGATCATAAAACTTCAAGATACTTTCCACGTACATATGTATGTACCTGTACCTCCTACATCATGACCAATGAACAATGAAATCTTCTAAATATTTGAATAAGGTTTAAGGACAACATTTGGTCAGGAATACGAAGAGGCACCACTATCAATACAAACATTCCAGATATGTATGGTACCCGACACATATGCAATATTCTGCAGCACAGCCGGGTAATCTAGACTGGCCCTTGCGTGATCAGATCCGCCACTGCCTTGAGCCCTTGGAAGCGATAGATTATTTAGCCAAAACTGACGTAAATATACTTGAAAATGGACTATCGAAGGGTTCAGACCCTGACCTCGGTTGTAGTCCTATTTATAAGCCATACATTAGCACCCGTGGTGAAGATAAAAGGCATACCCTGGGCTATACTGTCCTCCTCTATTCCAGATGAAGGACTGATAGTTGAAATTCACACGAACAATTTTGTCTTGGGTCATTTCACTAAGTTACCAATCATGTCCAGTCGACCACCAAATGAATTCTTCCTTGTGGGGGCTGGCATGGTGATTGTAAGTGTCCCCGCGACGTGTCCACCTAAGTCTTGTTCTCTCGACTCGCATTTCGAACCATGCCTGACACTCAAAACCTAGATCATCGGCTATGCAATCTATCAGAACTATCTCCATCCATTAGCCAAATATCCCGGACCATTCTTGGGCAAGTTCCTCAAGATGGAAGCAGTGCACCGTATTTTAAGCCGATCAAGTGGTGATGTTCACTTGCATATTCGGCGCTGCCACCTCAAATATGGTGAAATGTCTAGCCTGCACGGTGTGCCCCAGGGAAATGAAGCTGACCTTCGAGTTCTCCAGGACCGATTGTACGCTACGGTCCAAACGTTCTCATCTTCAATACCGTCGCAGGACTTAAAGGTGCGGACCTGGCTTCGCTTTAACTTGCACCGGTTTCTGACAGTCCCAGATATATACGTGAATTCCAAGAATATTGTGAAGGATGATTGTTACCAATTGCTCCATATTGGCGCCAAGAGCATCTTGACCGCCACAGATCCAAAAGACCACGGGCGACGCGCGAGGATAATTAGACCTGGTTTCGCCAACTCTTCTATCAAAGAATTTGAACCGAAGATTCGGACACATGCCTTGAGGCTACTCGATGCTCTCTCCTCAGCCAGCACGAGCCAAGAAGACCATTCCTGGGGGCAGCCCCTTTCGATGTCTGATTGGTGTAGCTATTCGACATTAGACATTATCACCGACCTGGTCTTTGGACGCAGTAGCGACCTCGTCCGTCGGCCAGAGTTGAGACATATCGTATCCGATATTGAAGGGATGCTGGAGCATGCTTCTTTCCTGATGCATGCGCCATATGTCCTGTTTGGGAGGCTAGACAAGTTATTGTTTAGAGATAAAATTTTCGGGACAAGAAGATATCGTGAGTTCGTCAAAAGTATGATGCAGGAAGCTGGCAAAAATCAGGTATACAGTCGTATAGCCAATGTGGCAGTCGAGGCTTCTCAGCCCCCCTTGACCAATGCAGAGATTTGTTCGGAGGTTGCACTGTTGATAGTGGCTGGTAGGGGCTCCACCTCTCTTTCCTCATTCTCCCTTCGCGGCTAATGCAGGAATCTCAGGATCTGATACTACCTCTGCCGCACTGTGCGCAATTTTGTTTTACTTGGCTACGTATGTAAATGCTTACGAAAAACTGCGCAGTGAAATCCGCCGCACCTTTCAATCTCTTGATGAGATAAAAACAGGAGCATCTCTGCAAAGCTGCACCTACCTCGAAGCATGTCTCAAGGAAACCTTGCGAATTTCGCCTGGAGTGGCAGGCGCACTGTACCGTAAGGTCGGCAAAGGCGGAGCGGTCATCGACGGCCACCTCATTCCCGAAGGCTGCAGCGTGGCCACTGGCATTTACAGCTTGCATCATAACGAATCCTACTTTTCCCAACCGGACGTCTTCATTCCGGAGCGCTGGCTTTCGGATAGTGAGACACCATTTCCATTTGCACTGTCGGCTGCGTACACTCCATTCTCACTGGGGTCCAGGGCCTGTCTGGGTCGCAACCTCGCTCTCACGGAGCTGCAGATCTTGACTGCCGCCATCGTATGGCAATTTGACTTCAGATTTCCGCCCAGGTGCGAGACGAATGTGGGAGCTGGGCATCCGCTTGGAAGTAGCGGTCGGGCAAATCCTGTAGAGTTTCAGCTGAGTGACTATATCGTTAGTCACAAGAAAGGCCCTGTGCTTCAGCTTCGCCCACGGCGGCAGTCTTGACTTGGCAGTATGGTTATCATCATGTACGTGTCTGGTAACAAGGCAAAGAGAACTACGGCGCGAGCTCCGCGGAAAGGCTGACGACGCGTTCAATTGCATGTCAGCATTGTTGTGGAGACCCAGAGAAGACGGAAGGGGCAAGAGTAGCAGTGCTTCGCGGACAAGGAMAGTGGAAGCTGTTTTGGACTTTGCCGTAGCATCACAACGGTTTCAAAGCCGCGCGCGATGAGGGCTGCATCAAAGCAACAACGGCTACTGGGCCACGACAGGCCTCAGCGAGGCATTAATCCGTTTAGGAAGTGGTACTTGGCAACTGTACACATGGAGACATAAATAGTAGTAGTATCCTGCATATCGTTCCCGAACTTGGATAATAACCCACAGCCCACTAGCTGAGTACGCATTTGTATTTTGGTCTAGTTGGGTAAACCAACTCGTGAGGGGGTCAGGGTAAATAAGATAATCAGCATCATTGAGAGAGAGAGAGAGAGAGAGTAGGCGAAGTGGAATTATCCGCTCGTGGTGGCCACAATAGCGGTCCCACGTCACTAGGGCTGACCGACTTCTTGCTTGGGGGCAACTTCGATAGCTTGGAATGCATGGACTTCCTTACGTTAACCTGCATATTGCCCCTTTGAGTCTTCCTAATCTGGGTCCTGCACCCCTTACTCTAAGCCACCCAGCCACCATATCGCTTGCTCTGTATGACGCGCCCCACGAATTGAGGGTTTGGTGGAATTGATAATAGAATGGATAGTGGACGTAGATTCGAATCGATTCCGCTACACACTCCGTTGGCCATGGACTATCTTCAAAATGAAAAAGGTATTCTGCAACACTTGGACATCAAAATTGCGCGGCCCACCGTCGTAGGGTTGATTGTTGCAGCTGTGATGTCTCTAGTGCTCGTGCTCCGTCGCCAGGCGCCCTCTATCCCAGTCATCAATGGCAGAACCCGTCTTCGAGGGCAAAGACTGCAAGACTTTCTAGTAAATGCGCAGGACCTTATCCGGCTAGGATTCAAGGTGAGTATTTGAAACATGTCATTCGAGCAGAAACTGATGATCATGATCGGACTATGTCTAGAGAAGCCGCGTGTTTCAATTGATGACCAACCTCGGTCCGATGATCCTGCTATCTTCAGAATACATCGAAGAGATTAAGAATGATACTCGATTGAGTCTTTCGCTGTGGTTTCACAAGGTTCGAGTCTCAGACAACCGCCAACCCCTTCTGATAAACAAATCGACACCTTCTGACGATACCATCGCGCTAGGAATACTTTTCTGACTTGGCTGGTTTTGCAGCGTTCCGGTTGGCCGAAATGGGGCCCATAATGCGAGACGCTATTAAGTTGAGACTCACCTATGGATTCGGTATATATTCCAACCGAGTCACTTCTGCACTGCGCTGACAAGATTTGAATCTGCAACAGACAATATTGTCGAACCAATCTCAACAGAAACAAGCTGTTTCCTTGCCGACAACTGGTCTGATAATGAAGGTGAGATACGAAAATGAGCGATGACCAAACAAAGGAGATCTGACATTATGCAGAGTGGCGTGAAGTATTGGTGTCCGCCTCGGTTGAGAAACTAGCGGCTCGATTCGCCAGCCTACTGTTTTATGGCCCGGAACTACGTGCCAATAAAGAATGGAACGCTGCACAAGAGGAATATCTGAAGACTGCCTGGAGAGCGGTGGAAGAGCTGCGCCTCTGGCCTCAGCCCCTCCGTCCCATAATCCATTGGTTTCTTCCAACCTGTCGAACACTCCGTCGCCAGGAAAGAGCCGTGCGATCTTTGATTGAGCCTGTGCTTGCTGCTCGTCAAACACAGGGAGAGCACGAGGTTGTAAATTACAATGACTCGATCCAATGGCTAGCAGATGCCGCCCGCGGCCGTTCCTACGACGCGGCCATGGGCCCACTAGCATTTGTGGGAGGCGCCTCGCCAGCCACCGTGGATCTCCTGTCTCAAGTTCTCCTCGATCTAAGCGAGCGACCCGAGCTCATTGATGCATTGCGTCAAGAAGTCTCCAATGTTAAACCGCATATCAACAATTGGGCCAAGCATGAGATGCAGCAACTGCGACTGATGGACAGCGTTCTCAAAGAAACCCAGCGGCTTAAGCCCGTTGAATCCGGTAAGTGGCCTCTCGCTATAAGCATCATAATATACGCTGACCGGCATAAAGTTATGATGAAGCGCACGGCGACGCAGTCTCTTACCCTCTCGGATGGTTACCACATCCCACGAGGATCCAACATAGGCGTATCCGTGGCTATGATGCGAGACCCTGATATATACACCTGTCCTGATGAATATGACGGATATCGGTTTCTGCGAATGCGTGAGCAACGAGGATACGAGACTATCGCGCAACTGACGTGCACTAGTCCGATTCACCTGGGATTCGGACACGGGCTGCAGTCGTGTCCGGCGCGCTTCTTTGTATCAACACAAATCAAGATAGTGCTCTGTCACATACTCCTCAAATACGACATAAAGCCCGTGGGAGAGGGGGCACGTGTCCAGCCCTATGGCTTGAATCTCCTGGCGGACCCGACAGCGAGGCTGCTTGTGCGGCGGCGGTCTGCCGAGAGTCTACTATGAGCTTGAAATGGATTGCCACTGGGGCTTCTTGGGTGGCTCTAATATGTTCTAGATTTACTGATAATTTGGCTTGAAGACGACATCCTCGAAGTATGTTCCTGCGTTGTCAAGAATATTCGGTCTAGACTAGGAGAATTGTTGGTCGGTAGAATTCGCATCCCACCGACGATGATTTTCATAGGATACAAGATACAACCCGGCAGAGCTAGGGGCCTGCAGGTATCCTCGAGATGTCGCCTCAGTATCCATGCTTTGAAGTTATACCCGCAGGTGATGAAAATCATCAGATACATATCTCATACCCACGCTGACGCAACAGCGTCTGCAACTCCTCCCACAACTGCTGTTGGAGCAGCTCTCCTTCAGACCCCTGCGCAAATTTAGACAACAAAGTCGGCTTTCCGTCCCGTAAATACCCCCCATGAATATCCCTCCCATCAGTCGTCGCGGCGTGCACATGCAGAGCGCCTCCCTGTTGTACAGAGCGAGCAGTGGTCCGCTTAATTAGCCGCGTTAACAGGCCGGCCTGGTCGGAGAAGAAGTTGGACGCACAGAACCCAGGAGTTGTGGTTATGACGGTGACTTCCCGTCTATCTAGCCGCCTGCCTAGTTCCCGTCCGATTAACGACAGGAAAAGCTTGCTACGGTAGTACTGCTCTTCACTAGTGCTGGGGGAAGGGGCCTGTCGGCATGATGATAGTAGGCATGCGTCTGTGGGGTTGGTGATGTATGTTGTCCATGCGTGTCCCTCAGAGCCAACCAGAACTAGGCGGCCACCACTGCTACTGCACTCGATGCTGGGGCTCGGGGAGTCTCTCTCTGAGTGAGCGGTGCGAAGGATGGGAAGGAGTCGGAGACTGAGATAGGCAGTGCTGATGAAGTTGACCTGTCATCAGAGGGGGCGGGGCAGATGGTTAGCACTTCAGTAATTTATTTTCTTTGTCTAAATTTCACAGAAGCTTTTGGTGGCGACAGTGCAAGGTGCAACTAACCTGGAGGGTTGGACTGTATCCATCCACTGTTAGTCGAGACTCCCGAACCAGGCCTCCTGCGTTAAGGATGGCGATGTCGAGATGAGTCTCATTGCTGTAGAGCTCATCGACAAAGGTATCCACTGAGGCAAGCGACTCCTGGTTCAGTTCTAAGATGACCACACGGACACTGGGATGCTCTCGTTCCAACTGGACTTTCAACCTTTCCGCCTTGGGGATATTACGGACTCCGAGAATCAGGGAACGCGGACCCAGAGCTGCTAACTGGCGAGCTGCCTCGAGGCCAATGCCCCCGGTCGCTCCCGTCACCAGGACGGCCTTTGAGATCAGCGACAGACCCACCGGCAGAGGCGGTGGGCGGCCCGTTATCTTTTGGCGCAGTGCGTAAGGCACTGGTCCGTCCGACGAGAAGTCCAGAATGGCCGGGTTGGTCAGGATCATGCGCAGGGGCTCAGGGATGAGAAAAGCCATGGTTGTTGAAAGAGTCTTTCGTGAAGCTCAAATATGGTCTCGTGGGCGAATAAAATCTAGGCTGGCACAGTATATATATGGGTACTCCGTACAGGGTCTCCCGCTCGCTCAAGTCTGTTGCCAGGCCACATGCAATTAGTATCCCTTGCAGACCCGGGTGTAGACATCCGTCCATTGCTGACTCTCAAGATGAATCTTTAGTTGCGTCTCGAGTTTAGTCCTTCCAAGATTTCTATTAGCTAATTTAGCTACAGGCCCGGAAATCCTCGCTTTCGGTCCCACGTTATCTGCACAGATTCGATTGAATTGGGGTTTTAAATGGCTTCCGTGACCGTCAAGAATCAATAGCGTATATCGGCCGCGTTTGCGGTACGTTGTTGCTGTGTAAAAGTCTTTTGTAACCACCGGAGGCCTATTTCATCGGCAATCCAACCGTTATTCGAAACCTCAAACCGCCAATCATTCGGTAGATCTTCTTCGAACCAGCCGCATATGAAGACCTTGCCTTTGAAGATCACGGTGGGTGGTAAACAATAATCATTAGCCCCGATCGCTTCGATCAGTATAACACATTCACGTTTGGCTATGGGCCCTGCGACTTAGAACAGTGAACTTAGGGCCACGGACAGGGATCTGTGGACGCGGATCCACTCTGGTTTCTAGACATAGGTCTACCGAGGCCTTCATTCTGTCAGCTGGCGGCCTGGGCGGCTGAGTAATTGTCTGATTAGTTCTGTGATGCCGCGCTAATATATAACAGCACTTCCCTTCAACGTCAGAACATGAATAATAAACTGGAATCCCGATCCTGCTGGTTCTACATTATGTTTACCGCAACCCTATTCTAGGTCATGAGGATACACGTGAGGCATTTGTGACATTGAGAGATAGAAGTTCCTATAACAGATAACATCCGAGCTTTCTCCTTTAACGTAATCGGTAAGCGATCCGCCATTGTATGCCAGCCGCCATGTGCTGTATTCATATAAAATGGCACTTTCTAAAACATTAGTGTTTCCATCACAATAGCTTTAGAGGCTTTTTCTGTTAACGTAGTTATATATATATGTAATATAGAGTAGAAATATAGTTTTTCTAAATTTTTTTAGGATTTTTTTATGAGTGGTAATATAGTATTATTCTTAAATACCAAAAATACGGCTGTAAAGAATATTACCTTAAGAAAATGAAACCCCTTAAAGGTCTCTACTTAATGTATATATATTTAATATAAGAGTACTTTGTATACTAAGTTTTAGGCATCCTAGATGCTTTGTTGTTGAGATATCGAAGACTTGAAAAGTGCCATTTTATAAGGAATACAGCAGATGGCGGCTGGCATACAATGGCGGATCGCTTACCGATTACGTTACATATTGATTCCTGATAGCAACAGCATGGGACCTTGACCCAAACTTAATATTCGGAGGACATTGAAACCAAGCCGACCGAAGTCTACTCCGAAGCAAAGACCTAGCGCTCATGACTTGACCTCACTGAGTGTTCTAGGAAACTGGACAAAGTCTAAACATATAAAAAGGTAGCCTGATGCTCTAGGAATCCAGAGGAGACGGTGAAAAAGAGGGGGTAAAAAAAAAAAAAAGAAAAGAAAAAGAAAAAGAAAATGGAAAAGAAAAGAAAGGGCGCGGAGTAAATATTAAGACTTATTGTGTGGTGATGCATAGTGGCTTTTACAAGCCAAGTACTGTGAGGGACTCAGTTCCACTCGCGTCAAAATGCCAAAATAGACTGCGGTCAGGATAGTAGCGCGTGATGTGAACCTCAGACCTCAGAGGACAGTAGAGAGGTTGCTCTCACCCCTGTCAGCCTCATACTAGAACAGGTCAGATGGACCGTGACCAATACTATCAAACCTTTTGCTCTTCTCATCAGGTATGGCTTGTGCGGATTGCCAATCAAGGTTACGTGATGGGAATGTGAGGCGACGAGAAAAATATACTTGCTTTTTCCAAGCTTTCTGCAGCCACATTCGGTAGATTCACCTTGGATGAGTCTAGGCCTCACCATGGGACTTCTATTATCATCGTATCATTATCCGAAGGCAACGTATTTTACCCTCCATCAACATGCAAACTCCGGAGTATCACGTGTCGTCCGGAGTACTTCAAGTTCTACGGACTCTTTCGCATATCTACAGTTGCCATTTTCGGTTATACGAGACTTAATGCAAATTCCGTCATGTCATCATACTCATCCAAAGGATTGAATATGCAGGTAGCCGAAAGAGTCGGGGCTGGTGCCGAATATTAAGGTCTGTGGACACCATTCCGACGCGGTGGAGGTACCAAGGTAAAGTCGCCCACTGTATCAGTCTCCCGTTGTGTTTCACCCACACGAGAAGGGGCTGAAGACTATCATAAGGCATCCAATGAGGAAAGAGATACTAACGCCTCCACCGCTGCCTTGTCGCTTTCCGTTACCAATCCCAGCTGGCTTGGCTGGAACCGGGCAGCTGAAGCGAAAGACGCAGACTCAAGCAATCGGGTTCGAAGCTCAGGTGTTTACTAGGTGCCTAATGGCGTTTTAATCGGAGTTCAGCTGGCACTCCAAAATAGCCACTGCACAGAGTGATATGAATGCTGGATACTGAACGCATTAATTGACTTTGCGAGTTGTTAGTATAAGATGGGCTCAAAAGTCAAGTCCTCCTTAGGGGGTCTGACCCCTCCGAATGAATTCGCGAAGTAGCATCGGTCCATTGTCGAAAGCCATGTCTGACGGCATCCACACCTACACTGGGGCTTGGATCAACTGGTCCGAAGGTGCAATCCGCGGAGCCACATTGACGTTGTCACAGAAGCATGCAGGCGTCCTAAGCGCTTTTCTGGCCATCCTCGTGTCCTTTGCTGGGTCCTTGTTTTGGATTATTCTAAGTTTTGCCATTCATCAGGCCTATACCACGGAACCCGCCCAAGGGCAAGATGCACTGCACTCCCAGCGCCAGCTCATTCTCCGCAACAAGACTGCGGCCGGTGCAGTCTGGGCTTTGATCAAGCTGCCATTTGAGAATGGGCGAACAGCATCACGGGTCAAGGCCGTTGGGCGATCCCTACCATTGGCGATATTGGCTATTCTCAATATCCTTCTGTTCGGTGTGTCTGGACTTTTCACAAGTTACATCACCAAGACCGCTGGCGATTCTACAATCGTCATCGGCCCGGCTTGTGGGGGATTTCAATTCAACGACTCAGATTCCGTCATGAGCTTCAAAACCTTGCAGGATACCTACGAAGCCGCGACGTATGTCCGTCAATGTTATCAGGGGAGCCCATCAGGACTCCTGTGCGGGACATACGCTCGTCCAAGCATACCATTTACCACGAATCAAAACGCGTCCTGCCCTTTTGCGTCCGAGCTATGCGCCTACAACGGGCAGTCGGCATTCCAAATGGACACCGGCCTTCTAGATTCGCAGACAGACTTTGGCATCAACGCGCGGCCGAGAGACCGGATTAAATTCAGGCGCGTAGCGACTTGCGCACCAGTCAAACATGGATCCGGCCTAGGGACGAGCCGGAACGACTCGACATACGGTACAATACTCTATATCAATGCTGGAGCACAATACTATATGGGCCAACCATATTTAAACTACACCTTCGAATACACCCCGAGCCCGCAGCTGGATGGCATAGGCTACACCTTGAGGTGAGTCCTCCAACAGGATGGCCCAAGAGAACGTATATTCTAATGAACCAGCGCCATGTTTGCCAAAGCCGATCCCACGGGCTTCCTGCTGACGACTCGATCATGGGCCCCAGATCCGAGGATCAACAAAACCGACGCCGACATCACTATGATGATGCTGAATCAGAACGGTGTCATGTACCTGCAACCCAGCCATGATCCTTGGATCACAGCCGAGGTTGAGAATAACCTCAGCATGGAAAACACGACATTCAATAGGACACTGTGGTCGAAGAGCTATGAGGCGAACCTCCTGGTGTGCGTGGACCAGTATCAAGTATGCAACCCAAGCAGATCTGGTGATTCCGGCTGCACCAAGCTTGGTGGCCAGATGAGTACATTCCTGTCTGCTTTTAAACTTGATGGTGTGACTCCAATTCTGGGGTTCAATATGGCCCAGCTCACAACCGTCTCACGGTTTCTCTCAGCAAACACTGACCGGAGTATGTATTCCAATGTGAATGGGCGAGGAGGCGCTGCTTTGAACGGTAAGTAAACCATGGTGATTCTATTTCCTGCATTCCCGAGCTAAATAAACCCTCTCCTCGTCACAGCGTCAATGATGGCCTACATGAATCTCAATTCATATCTTCCACCGAACCAATGGCAAATTGAAGTGTCGACGTGGTTTGCCACCTCGTTAGCTAAAGAGCAGGCTTGGGTCTTCGAATGGGCCACGGCACCAAAAAACCTCCCTCCCAACACGCTTGGTTATGGGTGGAATGTCACTGCCCCTATCAATGCGGTTGCGCGTTCTGCATGCCAGAACCAACTCATGAAGAATGCCTCAGGATACGAAAACTTTTCAATTCTTGGGCTGGCTCTCACACTCATCATTTGCGGCCTCATTGTGATTATCGGGCTCACAGTGGATACCGTAGTGGGCTGGCTGCGACGTGGAAAGGCCGTTTACAAGCGGGACCAGTGGGCAGTCGAGGAGACATTGGCCCTGCATAAGGCAGCGTATACAAATCTAGGGCTCTGGCGAGACAATGGAGAGGAAATGCCGCCAAGTTCAATCCTTTTGAGCCACTCAGCCTTGTCTGTCCCTCATGGGGCTGAGCTGGACACAGAAGGTGTTGGCACGGGAATGAAGCATGGATACGCTGTTGTTGGGCATGAAGTTCCATGATACAGGAATTCTATATACTCCCGGCTCTGCGACGCACGGATTAGGCACTGGGATGAGTTTTCTTCCAGGGATTTCGGCGTCGCCCAGATCAGAACAGACGGTATCAGGCAACTAGCTGACCTGTTCTACCTCGTATGCAGGGAGGAAGAGCTGTTTAGCAACCATTTCCGATTAGGTCCTCCATCCTAGGAGATATAGACAGGTTATCAGAAAATAATACAATGTCTTCTGCGATGGCTTGTTCGTGCCCCAGCAATAGACAGACCTCTAGGCAGTCCGAGTCTTTTCTTGGGTGGATGAAGCGTGGCATCCACCATTGCGTCCAACAACTCACCCACACCAGTACCTGTGGTGGCCGAACATTCAAAGTACCCATGGACGCCGCTGTCAGTCACAAGCTGCATGATAATTTGATGCCACGGGGCATTCTTTCTTCGTGAGGGATCCTCAGCATCGCCACCCAGCAAATCACTTCGACACCCAACCAGAAATACCGCGGGGTTCTTTCGTGGTTTGCAACACCTATCAGCGATCTCCATGCCTGCTATCATATCATTTATCCTAGCACTTATCGCCTCCTCCAGTGGGTATCCTAAATCCAAGTCTTGTGCCATTATGTCAAGAGGAAAACAGATCAAAGCAATATCAACAAGGCCCTTCATTGTACTCCGGTGCGCAAAGTCAACTGCACCACGGTCCTGTGCATTTTTGGAATCCTCCCAAAATTCAAATTTCTTGGCATATCTGGGATCCTTGGAGTTTGTTTCAATCTCATATATCGTGCTTTCCAGCGGAACAGAGGTAGTGCCGTTGACGCGATCCTCTGCTAGTTTAATCAACGCGGATAGAAGACGAGACTTTCCCCCGCAGTCTACCCCGCCAACCACGACTTTCATTCTCCGTGGTGGGATGCCTTGATTTTTGTATATTAGAGCCTGAGCTGATAAGAAGGGAGCGCGTCGATGGTGGGTACCTAATGTCATCTTCGATTCTCGAGTAGTGCTGGAGCCAACCGCGAGCCGAGCTAGGGAATTGTCTCACTGAGGAGGCGATCTCAGCTTTTATATATTTTTTGGTCCATCTCGTATTCTGCTACTAACCCCAATAGGTGCAGATCAGGCGAGACAAGCTGGAAGAGCCACTGCCATAAAGAAACAGAGGGAATATTATTGCATGGTAATATCGTCCTTTCTAAGAAGGAGGAAATTCTACGAGGAAGTACAATCTTTTACTATGAAGGTGAGGGATATGTTTCTAAACATGTACTAATGAGTAGAACTCCTTCAAACCTGTTCATGTCGCCTGTTTCCTCTCGCAAAGCGTTGACTGTTTACAACTATACTGCGTAATCAGAACTGCATCCTCACATCATCGAGACCTGCGTCAATTGTGTTGAAAGTGTCTCGAAATAATACTGTCGAAAGCCATTCCAGACTCTGATTAATAGTTATGCGATCTTATCAAGCAAATATGGACAGCCAGCCAATAATGCCAGAGGTATTCGAGTACGCCTTGTCTTGGCCAAAGCCAAGTAAGCCAGCCAATCCAGCGTATCTCTTGGCCGCTCAACCACTACCTAGGTAGGGATGGCCTCCAGACCCCTTGAGGTGAGATTAAATTGATACACTCTTTTTGACATAGCCAAGTTCATTAAGATTAAGCGATTCGCCGGGAACCCAATGTTTTCAATCCTCAAGAACTTTAGGAAACTGCAACAACGCCCATCAAAAGCCCAGTTGTCCATATTTTGTCGAGGTAACCCAAAAACGAAAGAAAGAAAGAAATAAAAGAAAGGCCTTCTGATTATTGGGCCAGGAAGACCGATCGGTCACGAAGAACTCTTTGCATATACAAACGGCCATTTCCTTATTGACGAACAACGCCTAGATGCTCTTTGCGATATTGCTGCAGTCGCTGGTGATGAGCCATCTCCCGTAATTACGATTGAGAAGATGGAAGGGGGCTTCAGCAAGGCTCTTCTGATGAAGAAAGAAAATGGAAAAGAGGTTGTTGCCAAGATTCCCTGCCGCATTGCCGGTCCAGCGTGCTTAACAACAGCGTCTGAAGTCGGCGCTTTAGAATACAGTATGTCTCCATTACTTGCACGTTGTTTAAGTTGCTCACACCAGCCGATCAGTTCGGAAACATACAAGCATCCCTGTTCCACGCGTTCTTTCATGGTCCTCAGACAGCTGGAATCCTGTAGGTGCCGAATACATAGTCTTGGAGAAGGCCGCCGGCGTTCCACTATTTCAGCGATGGGCCGACATGGCGGAAATTGACAAGTTGGACCTCATAAAGAACTTGACGAAGCTTGAGGCCCAATTATCATCTATTCAATTTCCCGCGTATGGTGGTCTATACCTTCGAGCAGATGCAGGGGCCCAGCTCCCCACTTATCAAAGGCTCAACGAGAGTATTGATCCGTCACACACGTTTTGTATTGGCCCTTCAGGTGATCGTTCGTTTCACTTTGATTGGGACACAAATCTCGGACAGTCAAAATGGGATTGCAACCAAGGACCATGTGAGTACCGTGGATTGTGACAGTGGCACAAGCTAACCCATTGCACAGGGAACACGATGTCGATGTCAAATCTGGGGATATCTATCGCAAAACGGGAGCTAGCTCGGATATCGAGCAAGCGCTTGGATAGGCCACCGCCGTTCTACCAAGGAAGTGTTGAAGAACAGACCCAACTTTTACAATCCACAATGAGCTTCATGCCAATGTTGGATTCCCACCCAACTCTAACCAAGTCGAGCCGGCCTATATTGTGGCACACAGATTTGCATATGGGAAACATACACGTTGCTCCCGAGGCAAGCTCACAGATTGTATCTATAATTGATTTTCAATCTCTATCAGCGTTGCCAGCATTTCTTCAGGCACAGTGGCCCATATTCCTGAGACCCCCGCAAAATTACACAAAGGGTTTGTGCAACCAAAACTTCCTGATGAGTTTGATGAATTGGATGAAGAAAGCAAATCACTTGTGCGACAGGAATGGTCCCAGGCAAAGTTGGCAAAGGCATACGAATTTTCAACCTACCTTGAAGACAGATTTGCCTATGATGCTATGAATGTGCCTCGTGTTTTCCGAGAGCTTTTTAGTCGGTGTGCAGAGGTCTCCGAGGTTGGAGTTATTCCCCTTCGAGCATGCCTAATAGAAATCTTCTAGAATTGGTCGGGCCTGGGGTTTACTGGACGATGTCCTCTCTTCTTTACAGAAGAGGAGATCAATACGCACGAGCGCCAATTCGTTGAGTATCAAGCTTGGCATGAAGTCCAACGCCTTGCATTGGAATGCCTAGATACTGACGCTGAGGGGTGGATTGCGCCTCAGCTGGATTTTACCGAAAAACAAAAGCAGAACCGGGAATTGCTGTCTATGTTCCTCGAGCGGATGGCTGGAGAAAAATCGCGGGAGGAAGCGTGGAAAATGTGGCCATTTCCGGATGAAGCATGAATCATACGAGCGAGTGGTCTGTAACTGGGATGCAATCTGCTCGCTGCTTGCATATCCCCATGCTCTGACCGGACAGATGGAGGGAGAAATAGGAGAAATACCAAACTGGTAATGCTGTGTTTAGGTGCTGGTGATTCTCCTAGTAATCCAGCACCCCCTCTAAGCGCATACTAGACAGTGATACCTTAGGTGCAAACTAGGAGTACATTGTCCTTAGTTCGCTTTATCCATGCCTGTCACTAGTACAGGGCCCACCTTTGTGGGATGATGTTCATCTACACATATTGGAAGCTCATCGGAATGCGATGTTTTAACGCCCAAGTGTAGTATTACATATTGACCTCTTTACTTCAGTTAGAATTTATTTGTAATCTGCACAGCCCAAACAAGCTCGGTCCAGAATCATTTCTTTTGATTTCTCATGCCGAACCTTCTTCAATGAGAGCAGTTAGGGCAGTGAGTGGTCCGTATTCTGAGACCGACGCTTGATGTGGCTTGGCTTTCTGATCACCATATCGCCAAGGCGAATGCCATTTTGGTGACAAAACCCTCCCATGCCAACCTTGAATCCAAATCTGTATCTGTGGGTGGAATCCTTGTGAGCCAAGCGGGAACAGCACTGTCGTAAGGAAGACAAGGATAATATTGACTTTTATCCGAAGTAGGGAATTCTATGAGGAAAGGCTAGAACCTTTACTGCGATGGAGTGACTTTTTTTTTTCGAACATGTACAGAAGAACCTTAATCCTCCCCCTGAAACGATTATTTTCTCCCAACTATTTTCTGTGCGGTAGGATTGGAGAGACACCCCGGGAAAAGCCATCGCCACGAGACTCAGAGTCAAAAGCTTTCCACCGCACGGAGTTCGGAAAGAAAGAATAATAGGGAAACCGGACATCGTTTGCCTACCTTGATAACCTCAGAACTTCCTTGGCAACATGGATAGGCGTTCGACGAAGTTAAAACTGCCAAGACACCACCCACGCTCAGACTACCAAACGGCCCTTCCATGGTACAATGTGGCAACTATTGTTTAAAAATCAAATGCACGTCAAGTCATTGGTCGTTTTGTGATCCACCTGTCTCGAACCGACGGAGCTTCGGAAGATGGAGATTGTGGAATTCCGTGACCGGGGTACGGGGTAACGGGGCTTATCATACCATCTGAGATGGCTGCTGCAGTTTAATGATTTCTCATGTCGGAGAAGCTTCAACGTACGTAGAGTAACGGGACGGTGAACGATTCTTCCTCCGTGATAACACGGCCCTTGAGCGTGTGCCGATGCATAGAGCTGATTTGCCTTCCAAGAGGGTTACGAGGGTTTTGCTGTAGTCTATAAATGGGTCGAGAAGACGTATCGCAAGGAATGTAAATAATCTGGAGCGCAGCCTGTCCTACAGGAAGGGTTCCCAATTTTAGTGCAACTCCAAACCATCTCAACTTGTACTACAAGGGATTATACAATGTTACCACCTCAGTATGTTGAAGAAATGTCCACAAGTGAGAGCTCTTCAACAGGGTCTTTCCCGAACCGTGCAGATCCGGAAACCGCCAGCCAGATTTCGAGATCTGTGACTCGCTCCGACATTGACGCCATTTCACGGATCGCCTCCTCTGTCTGTACCCCAGCACGACGGAGGGAAAGCCGAGGGGCGGCGCTGGACACAATTGCAGAAGATGACCCGGCACTCGACCCGACCAGGAAGGAATTCGACGCGTACAAATGGGCTCGTACCAAGCTCAACCAGCTCGACGAGGAAGGAATCTTGCGTAAGCATGCGGGTGTGGTCTTCAAAAACCTCAGTGTCTCCGGGTCCGGCGCAGCGCTGCAGCTTCAGGAAACAGTTGACTCGACTCTGTTGGCTCCGTTCCGTCCGGACATCTACCGAGGGATCATACATTCAGCGCCCAAGAGGCAGATTCTGCATAATTTTGACGGTGTGCTGAGGAGCGGCGAGATGCTCATGGTCCTCGGTCGACCGGGCAGCGGCTGCTCAACCTTCCAGAAGACAATCTGTGGTGAATTGCACGGGCTCGACTTACATCCGGACTCGGTCATGCACTACAATGGAATCCCCATGAAGAAGATGCACAAAGAGTTTAAGGGCGAGTGCGTCTACAATCAGGAGGTGGATAAACATTTTCCACATTTGACCGTGGGTGAGACTCTGGAATTTGCCGCCTCGGCCAGGACGCCATCTCATCGGTTGGCGGGCGATTCTCGCAAGAAATACGTAAAGGAAACAACACAGGTAGCCATGGCAGTGCTGGGCCTGTCCCACACTTATAACACCCGAGGTCAGTTTTAACACGTGATTTGTGGGTGCATGCATCAGCTGAGTCGAGATGTACAGTTGGGGACGATTATATCCGAGGAGTATCTGGCGGAGAACGAAAGCGTGTCAGGTAAGAAATCCATTTGCTCATCCATCCTCTACCCTATATCCTGTTGACTCTACAATTTTCCAAGTACGAGTGGCGGCTGACATTGTTATCACAGTATTGCAGAGATGGCGGGTAAGACGAAACCTCCACCCAAGGGATTTGGCAAATGTGAGGGTAAATTTCGCTAACATGTTACTTCCTTGTGTCTGCAGTCGCTCGAGCTCCTCTTGCTGCTTGGGATAACAGTACACGAGGTCTTGATGCTGCCAGTGCTCTGGAATTTGTGAAAGCATTGCGAATCTCAGCCGATCTGACCGGAAGCTGCCATGCTGTAGCAACCTACCAGGCATCTCAAGCAATATATGACGTATTCGACAAGGTTATTGTCTTGTATGAAGGCCGCGAAATCTACTTTGGGCCATGCAAGCAGGCAGAGAAATATTTCACCACGATGGGTTGGGTCAACCCTCCTCGACAGACGGTTGGAGACTTCCTTACTTCCGTTACTAACCCTCAAGAGCGCAAGGCCCAAGAAGGGATGGAGGACACAGTTCCCCGAACTCCTGAAGAGTTTGAGAGGTACTGGAAGGGTAGCCCAGAGTACGCTGCCCTTCTGCAGGAAATCAAACAGTACGAGTCTGAATATCCTCTCGGGGGCCACGGGCAAGAGGATGTCACAGCTGGGAAGCGAATGGAGCAGGCAAAGCATGTCCGGCCAGGAAGTCCATATCTTATCTCCATTCCAATGCAACTCAAACTGTGCATGATAAGGGCCTATCAGAGGTACGTTTAAATGCTACTTGACATCAGCATCATTGCCTCTCGCTTGGGTAGTTAATGACAACTGGCTTCTTTAGGATATGGAACGACAAAGCTTCAACTCTGACGTTGCTTGTTGGTCGAATCGTCATGTCTTTGGTTGTTGCATCGATTTTCTTCGAGTAAGTTTACTATAGATCTAATCACGTCACATTGTGGTGACAATACTGACTATATCCTGCAGCACTCCGGATGCCACTGCTGGTTTCTTCGCCAAAGGTTCACTGCTCTTTTTTGCCACCCTGTAAGCCGATGATCCCCTGCCGAGAATCTGACGAACTCCGGCTGATCTTGACGTTCTGAAGACTCAATGCCCTGATCAGCGTGACGGAAATCAATTCCCTCTATGATCAGCGTCCTATTGTGGAGAAGCAAGCTTCCTATGCCTTTGTCCACCCTTTTGCAGAGGCCTTCGGGGGGATAATTGCAGATTTACCCATCAAGCTTATTTCTGCAGTATTGTTCAATGTGATTATCTATTTCCTTGGAAGTTTGGTAAGTCCACATTCTCCAAATGCGTGTGAAGCTATTCAGCCGCTGACAAAGTTGAAAGCGCTACACTGCATCCCAATTCTTCATCTTCTTTCTCTTCAGCTTCCTTTCAACTATGATTATGTCGGCTGTCTTCCGTACTCTGGCCGCGATGACGCGAAGTGTTGCCCAGGCCATGGCGTTGGCTGGACTCATGATCCTAATCATTGTCATCTATGCAGGATTTGTGATCCCGGCGCCGGAGATGCATCCCTGGTTTTCCTGGTTGCGATGGATCAACCCACTCTTCTATACCTTCGAGAGTCTCATTTCCAATGAGTTCCATGGACGAAGTTTCGAGTGTTCTCAGTTTATTCCTGGGTACCCTAGCTTGTCTGGTGATGCATTTATTTGCTCTGTGCCTGGGTCCGTTGCAGGAGTAAGGACTGTGTCTGGTGATTCCTTCATCTACGCGCAGTACCGCTACAGCTACTCTCACGAATGGAGGAATCTCGGCATCCTCATTGGCTTCTGGATGTTCTTTACTTGCATCTACCTCATTGCCACAGAGATGAATTCCGCCACGTCGTCCACAGCTGAGTTTCTTGTCTTTCGTCGTGGTCATGTCCCTGCCTACATGAAACCGACTATTCAGGATACAGAGAAGACTCCCACTTCCCAGACACTGGCGCTGGAGTCGCCAGCGGAGAATGGAGAGCCCGTCGACTTGAGTACAGTTATGCCCGAACAGCGGAGCATCTTCACCTGGCAGGACCTCTGTTACGATATCCCGGTAAAAGGCGGACAGCGCCGCCTTCTCGATCATGTTGACGGCTGGGTTAAGCCAGGAACTCTTACGGCCTTGATGGGCGTGTCTGGAGCCGGGAAAACCACACTGCTGGATGTTCTTGCACAGCGGGTCTCAATCGGGGTGGTCACTGGGGATATGTTGGTCAATGGAGGGTCTCTTCCAGCAAGCTTTCAACGACAAACTGGGTACGTGCAGCAACAGGATCTCCACCTCGCTACATCTACTGTACGAGAGGCTCTGAGATTCAGTGCAATGCTACGGCAGCCCAAGAGCGTTTCCAAGGCAGAGAAGTATGACTACGTGGAAAAAGTCATCACAATGTTGAATATGAAGGATTTTGCGGAGGCTGTCGTCGGTACGCCAGGAGAAGGCCTCAATGTGGAGCAGCGGAAACTCCTGACCATTGGAGTCGAACTTGCAGCCAAACCCCAACTTCTGTAAGTTGTGACCTCAGGCAAATTACTGTGGCCTCAGGCAAATTACTGACAAGGCGCGTCGCGTGGACAGCCTATTTCTTGATGAGCCAACAAGTGGCCTAGATTCGCAGAGCGCATGGTCTATTTGCGCCTTTCTCCGTAAGCTCGCAAATAACGGACAGGCGGTTCTTTCCACAATTCACCAGCCAAGTGCCATTCTATTCCAGCAGTTTGATCGTCTTCTCTTCCTAGCCAAAGGTGGGAAAACAGTTTACTTTGGCGAAATCGGGGAGCAGTCCAGAACACTGCTCAGTTACTTCGAGCGAAACGGAGCAAGGAAGTGTGACCCCTCCGAGAATGTAAGTCCAATACATCCTGTTTCTAGATGCATATCGCCAGTGTCTGACAATCCTGTGATTCCAGCCTGCCGAATACATGTTGGAAATCATTGGCGCAGGGGCATCTGGCCAAGCCACCAAAGACTGGCCTGTAGTTTGGAAAGAAAGCCCTGAAGCGCGCAAAGTAAAAGCCGAATTAGGTCGCATCCGTGCCTCGCAATCTGTTCCCAATGGTGGCCCTGCACCAATTGATAAAATGTCGGACGAACAGGGAGAATATGCCATGCCGCTCACTGCTCAGTTGTGGTGGGTCACTCACCGGGTATTTCAGCAGTACTGGCGTGAACCTGCCTATATCGGGGCAAAGTTCATGCTAGGCGTCGTTTCGGCTTTGTTCATTGGCTTTTCCTACTTCTTGCCAGGACAATCGATTCAGGGGATACAGAACCTTCTATTCAGTTCCTTCATGTTGACTTCAATCTTCTCCACATTGGTCCAACAGTAAGTCTACCCCGCTGATCCCCAGTTCATGATATTTGAAGCCTTGGTCCCTAACCGAGCTCGCAGAATAATGCCCAAGTTTGTCACTCAGCGCTCGTTGTATGAGGTTCGTGAACGGCCATCCAAAGCTTACTCATGGGTGGCGTTCGTTGTCTCGAATATCGTCGTTGAGATTCCGTACATGACCATTCTCGGAGTTCTGGTCTGGGCGAGTTACTACTATCCGATTTATGGTGCAAATCAGAGCTCGGATAAGCAGGGACTAATGCTACTATTTGTGATTCAATTCTTCCTCTTCACCTCGACCTTCGCAGACCTGGTGATCTCATCCTTGCCGGATGCCGAAACTGGAGGTAAGATATCCCATGTCCAACAAGAAGTGGCCGAATGAGAACATTGGCTGACACTAGTCCAACACCGAACAGGAACCGTTGCAACATTGGCCTTTGCCTTGATTCTAACGTTTAATGGAGTCATGCAGACCCCAACTGCACTCCCCGGATTCTGGATATTTATGTACCGTGTCTCGCCCCTAACCTACTTGATCGCTGGAATGTGCGGCAATGCGCTGCACGGGCAGAGTGTTCAGTGTTCTAGCAGGGAGCTCAGTGTATTTTCTCCGCCCCAAGGTCAGACATGCGGTCAATACCTGGCGGATTGGTTGAGCGTATCGCCAGGCCAACTCTCCAACCCCAATGCCACGACGGGGTGCGAGTTCTGCGCCTTTACTAACGCAGACCAGTATCTGTCTCTAAGCAAGATCGGTAAGTGACAAGCCTAATTGATGCGAACTCTGCGTCCTGCTCAGTGCTGTTCAAGTGCTAACCATGATCGTATATCAGAGTACAGCCAACGCTGGCGCAACTTCGGAATTGGCTGGGCCTATATTGGTTTTAACATTGCGGGGGCTGCAATCATCTACTATGTTTTCCGTGTTCGCCACTACAAACCAACGTTGCTTCCGCGAGTAGTGACTGGCTGCGGAAAAGTCTTGCATAGACTGTTTAGAAGAAGATCCGGAAGCGTTCCGGAAGAGAAGAAGGCCGAGAACAGCCGCGTTCTTTGAACGGCAATGCTGAATCAACGGTTCGACTGCTCTGCAGTATTTCGTCGGGGAGGGTAATATGTGACTGGACTTTAGGTACATCCAGAGCGATGGATCATGCGGGGCTAACGGCTTCTTGGCTTTGAATTTGAGGGTGATACTTACTGTTCTTTTGATGTTTTTAATATACGCCTTGGCACTCCATACTACAATCAAAAATAGAACTGTCTCCACAAACTTCCCAGTCTCTCTGTACTCATAATGACTGGGGATATACTGCGTTGTGAGGCTAAGGGAGGACTATTCGAAGTCAAAAGAATCAAAGCTCCTGCCTTCTAGGAGGATTTAGAGGAGTTGTCTATGGGTGATCAGGATCATCCGTAAAAAGGGTTGGTTAAACACTAATTATGCCTATTACGGTGCAGTCGTAAAGTATCATAATTGCGGGAACATACATCGAGGCGGCCCTTCGAAGCATATATGCTCGAATCTGATGCCTATCCACACTTCAACTGATAACGTTGGGACACTGAGGAAGAATTAGGATCTTCGTCCTCTGTAATGATCACCAGTATTTCTCCTGGCATTGGAATTTGATCCCATTTTTCGACTCGACAATTTTGATCTACAATCCCACTACGTTGTCAATCCCCGCTTGAGCCTATTCTCCTTTGGTTGGTATGGCTCATTTGCTTCTTCACGGGCCATGTCGTTTATCCAGCGCCCGTTGGGTTGAATTTTMTCACCCTTCGATAGCTTCGAGGCTAAGTATAGCCATGATAAGGTATTACCCACCGTACTTACTTCATCACTCACGCTCTTGGCTGCGTAGCTGCTCATACGGTCAAACAACTCTCGATCTGTCCAGAGCTCAAACAAATGTTCCGCTACCGCATCGGTATCACCAACGTCCACCAGGAAGCCATTTTTTCCATGTTGGATCTGCAGTGGAATCCCACCAGCTCGTGTCCCAATTACTGGTTTGCCTAGGTGGAGTGCCTCTGAGACCTTGACTTCGAACCCCTCACGAGTAGAGAGCTGGAGGGCGATCTTTGCTCTGGACAGGAGGGTATGAAGCATCTGGTCATTAGGGCCAATGCGCATGACACAGATGAGTGACTGCAAATGCTTCAAATGCTGCTCGATGAAATCCAAGGTGTTATCCCAGACTAATGAACCGTCTGGGTCATCCACTGATCCGTGTCCACAGATGAGTAGTTTGGGTGGCCTCAAGTCTGGACGGGAATCCACAAGTAGCCGGTGGAATGCCCCGTATGAGATTAGGACATCTTGGATCCCTTTCGAAGGATCAAACCTAGCAACCTGGACGATATATTCCTCTAGGCAAAGCAACATGTCAGTGGTCCCTAGGCCCGGGAAGAGGCGGGAACAAGGCATGAGGGTTACTGACCATCTGGGAATGCAATGTTTGTCATATACTGCTCTCGACACTTGGAGTTAAAGACCCGCCCATAGCAACTGGCAGTCCAGTCTGTCATTGGTTTGTTCAAACCATCCAGCCAGTCTGTCGATGCCGGAAGATATCCCAGCTTTTCTTGAGGGACATCCTTTGGAACAAATGCACGAACGGGGTGACTAATGAACAGATCCGCCTGCTTGATCGCCTCCCACAACAACCCCCATGCCTCAGCCTGGGGAGTCCCGGGAGTGTCAGTCAGATCACTTCTGATCTGTATGTGACTACGAAAGATGACTGGCCGATCCGGAGTCTGTTGTTTGATCAGGGGAATCAAGAACGGCAGCTGCGGGTCATCAATGATGACCACATCTGCGCCGCCCTCCCACGGCGGAACCAAAGGGCCATTCTTCTGGAACCAGGAGGGAGGAGGCGGGCCGTACCTTGTAAGCCAGGGGTAGACTTGTGGGCCAAACTTATCGAGCAATGCAGAGGCCTGAGTTCCTTCTGCTCTAAGCCAATATCGTTTTGCGTTTTCGAGCACCCAAGCAGAAAGGGCATCTCTGTCCTCCTTGGTGAATCGTGTCCCAGGAGGGGCTACACCTTGCAGGATGTTGTGATTGTTCTTGGTGACGCGGAAGATCCCATGTCTCGGTTTCGGAACATACCTGCCACACCTAATGAGCGACAAGGAACGAGAGGTTTGCTGTTGAGATCGAGGGTGAAAGTCTTACCACCTAATATCAACTCCAATTGCTTTCGCAAACCTAACCATTGCATGGCGCATGAGCGCAACACCACCGCCTTGCGGAGTCGCACTGAAGAATGCTATTTTCACTCTGCGTTGTTTCAGATCACTGGCATACTTATTGACGGCCGTCCACGTTGGGGGTCCGACGGTTTTCTCATAATCGGCAAGCCTGGTGAGTTTCACATGGAATGCGGCATCAACCTCGACGAGGCCTCGAAGCCCTATCTCGGGTATAGGAGCCTTACTGGGACCGAAAAACCTGGCCAATAATGAGGTCCTCGATCACGGGGAAGGGAGGAAAGGGAAACCGTACCTAATGCATTTTCTTGCGATTGACTCAGCCTGTTCATCCAATGACTTATACGAGATGTCTTGCTCGTACAAGCCCCAACTCACATTTTCCTCCGCTTTGCGAAGTACGATGGGGATGATATCGAGCTCAAGCCAAAGCCGGGAACAGAGCTCGGGACATTTCTCAGCTAATTCCGCCTGCATCGCCAAGCCGATGAACTTCTCGCAGTGCTTTTCCTGGTACTCTCTCAACTTGGCCAGGATGAAATTTGAAAATTCCGACCAACCCTGGTACCGATTGCCCGAGCGGAAGTCATACTGTGCAAAGTCGAGTAAATATGAGCTATCGCGGACGGCAATGGCAAAGGATGCTCCAGAAGAAAACACATGAAAATGAGTCGCAATACCAGCATAAATGGCCTGCGCCGTTAGTACGTGGGCTAACTCTTGGTTTGCGTTGAATAACACACATTGAATGGTGGTCCTTGCCAGCTGGGTTTATCCACCTGGAGGCTTAGCCTGTCCAGATCATGTATAGAAGTCCGTCTCTCAAATTTCATTATTGCTGTATGCTCGAGATGAAAGAAACAATTTGAAGATTCTCAGTTACACTGTAGCCCTGTCCCTATTGAGCAGGGCAGGAGCTGTTATTAAAAGGACATGAAATATCCCCTCTCACTCGTTTTAATTTTCCAAGTATGACCATGCGGCAAATACCATCCAGATCACACCAGTTAGATTGCCTTCCATTCTAACACATCATGGACGATAGTGGTGTGATTGAACCATATTTGGTTGATGTCATTTGTTGCGTATTCGGAAGTGCAGCTAAGTTTCGGCAGAACCCAGCCTAAAGCGTGTCTCTCTGCCGAACTACATCACACGACTCTTGCTCCATGTATATTCGCTGTGTCTGGCCTTCTGAGGAAACATGGTACGGACATAGTTCACAGTGCGGGGCGCCTTCAAGCTACAGCGTCATCGATCCATATTTCCAGACCCATGGAAACGAAGTTCGAACAATCCTAGGATACTGATATTATTTCGATTGTTCTGTATTAATAAATAAGTTCGACGCCCCAGTCCGTTCATCTCCTACTACTTCTACGGGCGGATGGACTGCCAGTAAGCTTATTCATTCTTTGAGTCTTAGAGTCACGAATTGTAGGCAGGAGCGAATGTTAACACAGTCTACACCGCAACCTTAAGGGCATTATCCTCCGCATTGTAGCATGCAACCTCCATCGCCAACAGCTATGGCCGCCACACAACCAACAGCTGATGCTCTTTCGGACAACAGAGCCGTTCCTGCACGGTTAAAATTATGGAAAGAGAGCCTAGATTCAGTTGCTACACTGTCGGGTGAGAGCATCTGAGCTCCCCAGCTTCAAATCTCTGAGGTGGATGGTCTAATTGTGATGCCGAGAGGTTTCAATATTCAGGATATGGCCGCTTAGATCTGGACTTGACCGAACAGAACCTGGCGAGACTGTTTGCCCGCGTCCAGGTTTCTGATTACCCGCCATCCGCTGGTGTACCTAGAGAGAAGCCTCCAGCTCCGACTTTCGAGGAAGAAGGGGCAGCTCCCCTCCATCTCAACATCGTTATTCATGTCATAGGGTCTCGTGGGGATATTCAACCATTTATCGTGATTGGGAAGTCTTTGAAAGCATACGGCCATCGCGTGCGACTAGCAACCCACCTGGCGTTTAGGGACATGGTCAAGGAGAACGGACTGGAGTTCTTCAACATTGGAGGCAACCCCGAAGAATTGATGATGTTTATGGTAAAAAATGCAGGGCTGTTGCCTGAATTCAAGACCATCCGAAGCGGAGCCATCCAACAACATCGACGCGGCATGGGCGACATTATCAGCGGCTGCTGGCGTTCATGCGTTGAGACTGGAGATGGAACTCAGGAGCGCGTAGCCTCGGATGATGCTGCAACTGATGGAGCTGATCATCTCACGGCACCCTTTGTGGCTGATGCAATTGTGGCCAACCCACCTAGTCTCGCTCATATCCATTGTGCAGAGAAGCTGGGGATACCACTTACTATAATGTTTACGTCAGTATTCATAAAAGCACCAATTGGTCGCACCAGAGAGAATGCTAAGTCTACTGTATCTGAACAGGATGCCATGGTCGCCCACTCAAGCATTCCCCCACCCGCTTGCCAGCGTCCGACGATATAGCACCAAGCCAACAGTTGCGAACTTTGTATCGTACGCTGTTGTAGACTGGCTCATTTGGCAGGGCCTAGGAGATATAATCAACCGATTTCGGAGGAAAACACTAGGCCTAGATATCTTGGATACTCCACAAGCTGTGACTCTTGTGCACCGTCTACATGTTCCGCATGCCTATCTGTGGTAAGGCATTTGCTACCCATAAATGAAGCTGAACTAAGAAGAATATCCAGGTCTCCTGCTCTACTTCCAAAACCAGGGGATTGGTCCAGGGATATTGATGTTTGCGGGTTTACCTTTCTCTCCTCAGCAAGCAACTACACACCTCCAGAGGATCTGCTTGCGTTTCTACGCGCGGGTTCGCCGCCAGTATATGTAGGATTCGGGTCCATTGTTGTGGAAGATCCGCAAAAATTGAGCTCTATTGTTTTTGAAGCTATCCAAAAGACGGGCCAGCGAGCCATCATTTCCAAGGGTTGGGGAGGACTGGGAGCAAGTGAAGTGGATGTCCCTGAGAATATCTTCCTAGTCGGCAGCTGTCCTCATGACTGGTTATTCAAGCATGTGTCCTGCGTTGTTCATCACGGGGGCGCTGGAACTACAGCTGCTGGCTTGAAACTGGGATGTCCGACTGTTATTGTACCTTTTTTTGGCGATCAGCCATTCTGGGGATCCATAGTTGCTCGGCGTGGAGTTGGTCCATCTCCAATCCCCTACCGAGAGCTCACGGTGGACAAGCTTGCAGACGCCATCCGCATGGCTCTAGAACCATCTTCGCGCCAAAAAGCCCACGAAATTAGTGAGGTTATACAGCAAGAATCCGGCACAAAAGCAGCAATCTCTAGCTTTCACCACCACTTACAGGACACGCGAATAAGGTGCGCTCTGTGCCCATCGCGGGCAGCGGTGTGGTGGCTGAAGGACCGTGAGGTTGGCTTGAGCGCCTTTGCAACGACTGTATTGGTAGAGGCAGGGCTCATGAAAGTACGGCGTCTTGAGCTGTAGGTGAAAACCGATGGCCCCGCATCTTCACCGTTGAGTTTACTAAATCCAACAGGTACCGCTCTGAGGAGTATGACACTGCTAGAGACCCTGGAACTCCACTCAGGGCACTGGTGGAGGTGGTACTGGGTAGCATAGCCAAAGCCGCGACCGATGTCGGCGATATCGCCTCGGAGATCCTTGCCGTGATTTCGGGCCAACGCTGTCGCCAAAAGTCTGGCGGAAGAACCCACAGCATCGAGGCTGAAAAAATGGCAAGAGAGATCTCAGCATCTTCTGGGGATCCTGGCGCCACAGCTGCCTGTGAAACTACAATGCGAGAGGAGAAGCGGTATCCGACGAAGTTTACCCAACGGGCTGCCAAAGCAGCTGCTCGTACAGGGCGTCTAGCCCAGGGAGCGCTGGATTTTATTGTCATTCCCCCAATGGAGATCTCTCTTACATTGTCTAGAGGTTTCCATAATGCGCCACTGGTTTTTCATGATAATACCGTGAGGGATACTCCGAGGGTGACTGGAATGCGAACTGGACTAAAAGCAGCAGGAAAGGTATGTCTTATCAGCAATTCTTCTGTTTAAACCCTTTCGTAACCGTTTCAGGTCTCAACAACGCTGACCATCATGCAGGAGCTTACATTTGGCGTCTACGACGGCGTCACCGGATTGGTTACCCTTCCTCGCCGGGGCCTGAAAGATTCTGGAGCAAAAGGCCTAATTCGCGGAGTTGGGAATGGAGTTGGAGGGCTCCTATCGAAACCACTGGCAGGTTCGTCAATATTCTCGTCCTACCTACTCGGACGTCACTAGCGCTGGAAGCATATATATATATATAGTATGCTAAGACTTGCATAGGACTTTTCGGGATAGCAGCATATCCATTAGCTGGTCTGCATAAGCACCTCAAACGGAGCCTAGCTAAGGGGAAACAAGGTCCCATCAAGTGCGCACGAATTGCTCAAGGGGTGAGTGAATATCAGCGCTCCTCACTTGAAGAGCGGGAAGATGTTATCAGAAGATGGCAAGATTTAATTCAATCTACACGTGATGGAAATACGTGATGAGAGATGTGTATTTTCATTCATGACAAGCTTAGAGGAAAACTTTAACATTATAATCAGTGCTTCATTAGTAGTCATTGCTAAAAGGCATTCCTGTATCATAATCAGGCAATCTCCAGTCTTTTGAAAATAGTGCAATTACTCAGTTTATAGAGCGCTATTTGTCTACTAGTTATTTATCTTTCCTCAGGTATATGTAAGGCTCTATTGGTTTAGGCAACTGCTTATACCAGTAGGGTTTGGGGTTTAAAAGATACCAAACACTACCATGCTCAGATATATATTTTGAATGTTGGTGGCAACAAAGAAGAACTGTACTAGACAGTCTAGACTAAGCGGCTATCCGTCTAGTCTAGCTACTCGTACCCACTCCTGGCACTTTTTATTCTCATTGTCACATTAAGCTTTGGTACTGGAAGGCCTACAAGTGCTTGGTAGTGCTCTGCCAGCACCTGACAACTTCAGGGCTTGAATCTCATTTGTTACATATTTCGTCTCCCAACCCAGCGTTATGGTTGACCCCCTCTAGTCCTTTCCATTGGCCAGGTGACATTCCCCCTGAGATCCAGGTAGGTGCCAGCGGCGACGTTTACCCCTGAACAGGTCAATGATGAGGCCGAAGGGTGGTTACTCTTTTAAATAGACTGGAGGGGGACACGATTATGTGTCTTGTGGACTTAAGTATCAGTTCCATTATTCATCTTACAGCATGGTCTCTTTGTTTGTGGGGAAGATCCATGCTCCTGGTCAAGTGTCTGGCAGGTTTCCTTAAGGGGTCCAGTCACCAAATCAGCGTCTACAATGGACTGAATATACCTGCTTGTATTGAGCTAGCCCTTCAGTAGCCTCCCAGAACACTATATCTATTATTTTGGGATTTTGTGAGGTCCGAGACAGAAAGGGGTTTGAAGCTAGCGTGATAGAAGATATATTCACGAATAGAGGCCCAGATCTAATACTTTGGACGTTAATAGAATTGGCGCTAAGGCCTGAACATCCTGTGAAGGAGAGGAGGGTTTATCGATCCATGAGAGGTATGTTTATGACTTGGAATCTTAACATGTCGCTCCTTTTCGCGATTGGATGGCTTGATCAATAATTTCCATGGCTTGAAACAGTTCATAGTCATGTTGTTTCGGCGTGACTACCTGGATGCTTAGGGGCGAGTCCAGATATACCCGGCGGTCGACAGATTTTCCCTTCCCTGTATCTCTCAGTCAGCCACGAACATTTATATCCTGGAGAAACAATCGGAATGGCATACACAGTTCACGGTTTACTCTATCCCAGCTTCCCAGTACTGGAGAATCCATAACGATGCCGCTGTCAAGATCTGATTCCGAGAAATTGCGCACCGGGATCGTCCCAGCAGGGTAGTCCAGAAGAACAAAGCTGGCCGTGTAGCCGATGGCATTGAACCGATCAATCTCGGGCACAGGATGAGGGGCGACTGGAGTAATAATCGCGTCGATCCGTTTCGTGCAGTCTCCATCCACTGTCCACATCCCAAGTAACTCCTTCTCAACGGCATATCGCTGATCTTCTAATTCGTCCAGCTGCTTCGGACTCAATGGCCCCCTCCGTTTCATTCTGTCCTGTAGCCACGGGATCAGTGGCTCCGAGGTGCTCTCAAGGAGATCGAGCAACCTCACCCCACCATCAGCGCCCATCAGCCGTCCCGCTATCCCCTGACATTTCCTCAAGCCTGGTGGCACTGGGATGTCGACTACCCGGACACCAGGAGTCCGACGGAGAGAATCGGCAACTTCGTCCAAGACTCGAGCAACGGGAGGAAGAGGCGTGACTAGACCGTCCGCTCTCAGCACTCCGACTGTAAACTCGCGCGTCTGCATATCCGACACCGGCGGGGACTCGCTCCCCCAATGCCCGGGCATGCAATCCTCCCCAAACCGCTCCGCCTTGGGTACAATCTCTGCCAGGACGGCTCCCAAGTCCGCCACCGACGGGGCCAGTGGCCCGGCAACGCCCTGGAGCGGAACCCGACCGAGACCGGGCGTCTGACCGGTCACCACTCCACCGAATGGAATCCGGCCGACGCTCGGTTTGAAGCCATACAGGCCGGTGCACATCGCAGGCACGCGGATACTACCTCCAATATCAGTACCAAACCCAACCATGGACCCGCGCATCGCGACGAGGGCTGCCTCGCCACCGGAGCTCCCGCCCACTGTGAGCTGGTGGTTGAGCGGGTTCAAGGTGCGGCCGAAGACGTGGTTGTAGCAGTCTGGGGCCGCCATGGCTTGCGATCCATTCGTCTTGGCAATGATGACCGCGCCTAGCGAGAGGAGCATGTTGACCAGTCGCGCATGAAAGGTTGAAGGCTTGAAGGCCAGCGCGGTGAGGCCGATGCACGAGTCGACCCCCTTGATTCGGAAACTGTCCTTGACGGAGACGGGAAGTCCGTGGAGGGGTCCCACGGGCTTCCCCGTGCGCTGGAGAATACTGTCCAGGTGTTGGGCCCGTTGTACGGCGCTTGGAAAGAGTGGCTCGGTCAAACAGCGTGTAACTTGGTGAGCAATGGCCGCTCGCTAACGCCATGAGCATACACACTTGTTTAGCGACATCCATGATGACCAGAGCAACCAACCTTGGAAAATGCCCTTATGACGTCCTCTGCGCTAAACGTTCCCTCTCGCATCTGGGCCAAAAGGCCCCGGACGTCCCAATTCTCGGTGATGCTGAGCTCCCTTTGGGTCAACAGGCCTGACCTTCTTGGAATATCCATCACATTCTCTCTCAGGTATGCTTGGCTATGCGTGACGGAACCTGGCGGAAAAAGCATGCCGGCGGGAATCAGATGAGCCGGGAGTCTCCATTCCGCGGGGATGCCTAAGTCCAGTTGGGCTTGTTTGCGCCGTGCAATTTCCAGATATGCTGGCTCCGAAAATCGACTCATATTTGTCAGTTGTATACGCGAGTACGCGGGGACAGGGGGGCGGGCGGTATTATAAAGGTGTCAGCCATCAAACCGCTAGGCCAAAAAGATGTCTAGACGATTACTACAATTACAAATGATAGGATACTGATGCGCGAGTATATAAACAACAACATAATCCGCTGCCAAGGTGCCTAGCCCGCGCCTGGAATTCACAATATCAATATTGCTGAGTGATGGGTAGCTAGGTATAATTCTTGCCGTTCTTACATTAAACGACTTTCTGATTGTACATTAGACATCATCATCATCCCTTACCCCTCAATATGCTTTGACCTCTGTCCTAGGAAGATTGGAGTCTCTATTTTTATTCTAACCACAGCTGACGGCTAATTTCGCTATGGATCACTGGTGTTCTTGGTGATTTTCTCCACAATCGACTGGTTTAAGTGGGGAATGGGTTTATCTGTCTGGACCCTGAGGCCGCGGGTGATGCGTGCGATCATGGAATAGAAACCCAAGACGATGAAAACCTCGACGATCTCATCGTCTGTCATCAAGGTCTTTGCCCAAGCAATCGTTTCTTCTGTGTTGGTCCAGGTGGCCACCGACTCGTCCACCAGAGTGATCAGGCACTGCTGTCGCTCGGACCAGATGCCCATGGCGAACAGCTCCTCCGATTTCAACCCCTTCCGAAGCGCCTCAATCCTCTGGTCGCCCATGCCGTGCACACGCGACACGGGCTCATTGATGCCAAAGAGATATTCGGCACCCACGGTGCCAGTCATGCGGAGAACAATGAGCTGGTAGTCTAGAATCTGGATCGTGCGTGTCTGGCCGCCCAACAGCGCATTGAGGGTGTCCAGGATAGGCGGGAACAGACCGGGGGACCGTGCGAACAGGCGAAAGACGTTGCGATCAATCGGGAACGCCCTCAGTAACGCTGCATTCCCTTCGTGCACCGGATCCGGGTTATAGATATCAATTCCCTGGACCAGCGGGTGGGAGGCTGGGGGCTGGCTCGGCGGCGCAGATTCCGTTGTTGTTTGAGGCATCTCGCAAAACACCGGTACTGATGAGTGCGAGAGAGGGCAGGAGGTACTGATGTAGTCGGCCACTGGGATCGGGGCTCTGTCGTATACCGAGGGTGAAGCGTATCATCCTGGGTGAGGCGGCTTGAAACAAGATAAGTATATAAGCGGAGGTCTGTCTGAAATGGTATTCCCAACTGACACCCATGACCATTATTCTTCTTAGCCACAGCTCGTCTTTTCTCCAGGCATGGATCCTGACTCTGGTTGGCTGCTCTCGTCCTGCATGGATGGCCTTTAGTCTCGGCGGCAACGCTAATCCTCGCGCTGTTGATTTTAGTCCTCTCGCTCTTCACGTCTGCGCGGCAACGCTAATGGCCTTCCCTGTCGCAGTCGGATGAAAGTGTTTGATAATAATAATCCTAATGGCAGGTCAATGAGACCAGAACGATTAATCATGCTGACAAATGGGATTCAACTGTGGTGATCGCTCGGCTTACAACGGCTGTGCTCTGCTGCCCGTCTTAAGATCCAATGTCCCTTTTATGACTTTAGTCGACATCAACATAGACAAAAGTGCCACCCTGATCATTCTAGACCGTTTTTTGTTTGGGGCTTATGCCTAAACCAGATCCTGTCTTCCATGTCGTATACAATGGCGGCCGACAAGAAGCCTGCAAGCGTTGCGAGCAAGGACAGCAACATCTCGCCCACAGAGCGTGAGGTTTCGGAGAAGGCAACCTCGACGGACTCTGATCCTGAAGCGCAGCGAGGAGGAGACTCTGTGCCAGAGGATCCCAGGACTCCCCCACGAGAGATCTCCGGTTGGAAATGGTTCCTCGTCGTGTTGGCCATTTACAGTTCGCAATTCCTCTTCGCCCTCGACAACACCATTGTCGCAAACGTGCAACCCGTCATTGTGAGCCATTTCAACTCCGTCGAAAAGCTGCCGTGGGTCAGCGTCGCCTTCCTGATTGGCGCGGCCGGGACGAATTTGATCTGGGGCAAAGTCTTTGGTCAGTTCAACGCAAAATGGACTTATATCCTGTCGGTCTTTGTCTTTGAAGTCGGATCGGCTGTCTGCGGCGCTGCGCCCAACATGAACGCCTTGATCATTGGCCGTGCCATCTGTGGCGTTTCGGGATCGGGCATGTACGTCGGGCTCATGACCCTCCTGGCGGCCACAACCACCATCCATGAGCGACCCATGTACGTTGGTGGAGGAGGCTTCATCTGGGGTGTCGGCACTGTCCTGGGCCCGATCATCGGCGGAGCATTTACTGACTCGTCTGCCGGCTGGCGGTGGGCGTTCTACATCAATCTGTGCGTCGGTGCGGTCTGTGCTCCAGTCTACCTCTTCTTGCTTCCCAACAAGGATCCCCGCCCCGGCGTCAGTCTGCGGGAGCGCGCCAACACCATGGACCATCTGGGGGGTATCCTCACCATCGGCGCCATGGTGACGGGGGTCATGGCCGTGTCGTTCGGTGGTGTGATGTATCCATGGGACTCGGGCCGGATCATCGGTCTCTTCTGTTGCTCCGGGGTACTCTTTATCCTGCTCGGACTACAGCAGGTCTTTGCTGTCTTTACCAATGTGACCCACCGCGTGCTTCCTGTCGAGTTCTTCAAGAGTCGGACCGTGTTGATTCTGTTCGCCGCAACTGCTGCCGGGGGGACCGCCATCTTTGTTCCCGTCTACATGGCCCCGCTTTATTTCCAGTTCACCCGGGGCGACTCGACTCTGGAGTCCGGCGTCCGGTTGCTGCCGTTTATCATCCTGATGATCGTGGCCGTCATGGCCGACGCCGCACTTCTCTCGTCCTTTGGGCTGTACATGCCGTGGTACCTTGTCGGAGGCATCCTGGTGGTTATCGGCGGCGCCCTGATGTACACCGTCGGCCTCACCACATCGGTGGCACATGTGTACGGCTACACCCTTCTTATTGGTGTTGGCGTGGGTTTCTTTGCACAAGCATCATTCTCGGTCGCGCAAGCCACCGTGGCCCCGGAGCTGGTTCCCTCTGCGGTCGGCTTTATTTCGCTGGCCCAGATTACGGGAATCACTCTGGGCCTCGCCATCGCCAACGCAGTGTTTTTCAACGAGAGTGTGCGGTCCTTGCGGACGATCCTGCCTGGCGTAGATCCTGAACAAATTAAGCAAACGATTTCAGGTACACGGTCGGAGCTTTTCCAGAGCCTCGCGCCACGCGTCCGCGAGCAGGTGCTGGAAGCGCTCGTGGACGCCCTAGGCAAGGCTTATATCCTGGTCATGACTGCTGGTGCTTTGGTGGCTGTGCTGAGCCTTCTGATGAAGCGCGAAAAGCTGTTTCTTGCTCCTTCCGGAGGATCCTGATTTTGACGAATGCACGAATCTCACTGTCTATCAGATACGGCTACAGGATGTAGAAAACGGGCTGCCTCATCCTCTCAGCTTTTTATTAGAGAAATTGTGGGTCTCGTGTCTCTTTTGTTGTCCAGTGTTTCAGTCTCTTGTGCGTCGAACAGGGACGGTAGAGGCGTTGTTAGGCATGCAAGATCCATAATCCTACACAGTTTCCTTGATGGAATTTATTCTAGATCAGACTGAAAATATGTAATCAGTATAATTCCCTTCACCTCACACTAAAGGCTACGAGCACTGTATAAACAGCCTGTAAGGAGAGCAGACTTCTGAGAGCAGACCTCTAATGGAAGAGGCCTATGAACAAATTTTCTTGTTGCCTGCTACTATGCAACGACAGATGACCACAGTATGAAAGCAGATTTAGTTCTTAGGCTCCTGCAGAAAGTTGATACTATGGCGTGGCCCGTCCCAGCGCAGACGGAGGCCGACATAGAACTCCACCGATATATCGATGCCTATCGGTATAGCCCACGAAGCTGGGAGAAAGCAGAAAAGTGGCAATTCCCGGGGCGACACGCAATACACAGCATTCAATAGTCAATACCTGGGAAATCTGGGGATACGAGCGCCTTTCCTCGGCGGCCGGGGTTTGTCAGTGGTACCGGAGCGGCGCCTCTCGCAGATGAGAGCAGTGCGCCTTGCTGCCGCGCTCACGCCGCGCGCAATGCATAATGTTTAGTCCTGCCGCCAGAAACTAGCTCGCCATGTGGCAGGCCCTTTCCCACGCTCACGGCGCACAGTGGCCCGGCGTACCGCGGTAGTTTCGACATGGCTCTTACTCATTTCAGGACTTGCCGAAGCCTGCCAAGCCAATCAAGTACCAAATCGCCTGTATAGAGAGGACTTTAAGGCCTGGGTGTACCTGGACCTGATCGTCAAATGTGAATGGACTGTGCTTTCATACGTCCTTTGGCCTAGATATGATTCAACCTGATTCAATATGGCCCCATACATCGACATGCAGGACTCTTCCCCTTCGGTAGACACCCTTTCACACACGCAGTCTGCCAAGTGTACCAACACTGCATCCCAGTACTGGGGAGAGCTCTTTCGCACCGTTGGATCACAACCACGGCTCGCGTGCCTGCCTCTCGACCACCAATGGCCTCGTGCGGAAACGACAGTAATGGCCTCCGATGGCCTGTTGGAGGCAGCAATGAGGTTTGGCCGTACACACAATACCAACCTGGAGGACCTGATATACGCCGTATGGGCTATCGTGTGTGCGAGGCAAATGGGTAGCGGCCAATGCACGGCCGTGTTTACCGTTACTGGCCGCAATCAATCAACCGCCAAACATGTTACTACAGGGAATGGGGAAGCTGGACACGACTACCCCCTGATTCTGTCCGTGCCTGACGACGTGGACGTTCTATCGTGGATTCGTCATGTGGGCACCGCTGCAGCCACAGCGTTGGCCCATTCATACATTGGGTATGAGCGGATTATGGAGACAGCTTCGGGAATGCGCCCCCAAATGAAATTGTCACTCACTTTTGAGGATGACAGCCACGACACGATGGCTGCAGATGATAATTTTTCTCTCGTATTCAACATCTGCGCATCAGCCGGCCTGAAACTCAGTA